GACAACCACTGCTTTAACTGGGTTTGATGAAAGAGAAGAGGTAGAGCTTGGTGTCATTGTCATATAGATGTCACCTCAGCCCACACCCCCAGATAACTTTCCTGTGTGGCTTCATGTAGGTGTTAAATAGAGACAAGGACCATGTGGGACCCTGTGATATATCTGCTAGGGAACAGTGCAATAATTTCCTACCATCACCTTCTGGAAGTGACCAAATAGGACACCTCCATTAAAGAACTACTTGAGGAGTCCAAGTCATGCTAAGTACAAACAATTTCATCTTGTGTTCTGCAATTGAGCACAGCAAGCTGTTGAGGGTGTATCCAATTCCCTCTCGGGATCAGATTGCAATAACCCCTTCACCACATGAAACAGCTCTATTGGACAACGCTGTGGCAATGCAGTGGTGGTAAAAGAACTTCTTTGCCACCCACACCACCTCCCAGTAGGTCTGATGTTGAGCTCTAGCCAGTGTCCAGTTGGACTCATCATGAATCTTCCTGTGCTTGTGTTCCAGGCATGTATTTTGAAGTAAGAGATTTCTGAAGTATGCAGGAGTCACCCATGCACATGTTTGGTTTGTGTATCCCTAGTTTTCCCTCAGGTATATTATCTGAGCCTGTGGAGAAAAATTTCTGTGCTGAGCAGCAGGCAAGACCTCAAAACTGATTCACTGTTGTTTGAGATAGAGGCTAGCTGCCTCCATCACTATGGAACTGTAACAGACCCAGCATTGACTACTTTCGTTTTCCAGCCCTTTTCTTGTTTGGTTGCTCTTGATGACTTGAGGAGTGTGAGGCAGGGAAAAGGAGGAAGCATTTGAAAAGGCTCCCCGCTCTCTTCCAGGTTTAGAGGCTAGCCATGAGGCAAGCTGCTTCTGCCCAAATTCTAGGTCTGCATCTCTGGGACCCCTGATCAGCACAGCCTAGACACAGGTGTCTCGAAGAGGAAACCAAGCTATTGCCTCATACTCCTCTTTCCCTCCCTCCACCTCCTGCACCAAACTATTATAACAAGGGTGTTTACAGTTCTTACTGAAATTACATAAACCCAGAGGATATGTTCCTGGCTAATATTCCAGAGTCCCCAGAGATGATGAACTAGTTGGGTTAGCATAGCACTGCTTTATTTAAATAAGGAAAGAACAAGCAGCTCGCCTCATGTCTTGTCCTAGTAAATTGTTGAATTACCTTCTTAGGAATTTTAGCTTTAATCTTGTAGTAGAATGAACCTTGCCTGGAAAGAATCAGCATTACTTTTGTAAAAGGGAGTGTTGTTTTACCATCCTTTTGGATTTCTTTGAGAGCATCAAAGAACTATCAAAGTGATTTGGTAGACTTTATATAAGTGAACTTCCATTTGTTTTGCTTTGCTTTGTTTTTGACAAATAGCTTCCCTAAGGTAAACATGGCATTCAAACAGAAAAGGGAGAAATCAACTTAATTTCTATTTTGATCCCTTTCCGGAAAGACTGAAACATGACTGTATTATGTGGCCATTCTTATATTTTTGCCATTTTGTTTTAGTTGGCATTAATGGTTTCAAAATATTCTTCAGTTACTGAGCCATTGCAGATGACAGACACATAATTATAGGTCCTGTGTGCTGCATTACCACAGAACAGCAGTAAAGAGTGCTGCAATTAAAAAACCCCTCTGTTTTCTGGGATGTAGAGAAATGGAAAATAATTCATTCCAATGAAAAATATGTATTTGGTAGGATAACAGGACTTAAAGTGAATGATAACATAGCGTATTATGACAGGTTTAAAACGTGTGGCATTCAGTCTGGGTTGATGTCCGCCATGTGTTGCTGACAGATCTGTCATTTGGAGACTGAGAGGTCTCTTTCCAGACTGCAGCACAATTCATAATTGCATCATTTGATATAATGTGGATGTGTATACTCAGACAATCCATGTGGCTATCAGCTTAATACGTTTGAGCTCATGAAGCTTGAAGTGAGAGCAGCGTAATTTTAAATCATATAGATTGTTAGGAAGCTTCCATTGGGTCAGAGAATGAAGTTTTCATTCCATGCTTGATAACTAGTGGTTTGTTATGTTAGTTCACTGTCTTTTCTACTTATGTCACTTTCACTTTAGCTTAGCTTCAATGATTATATTGATGATACTGATTAATTTTGATATAGGTGAACAGAAAGCAAACAAGAAATTTATTTCTGCTTGTTAAGGATATGTTCTTATGAGAACAAATGGTTTCTACTAGACATTAGCCATAAAAATATTCTCTGTTTCTAAGGTCAGATGCAACAGAGTGGGATGACATTCCCTGTGATAGTGAAACTCCACGTTTAGGATATCTGAACATACCAGGATTGTTTCTTATTGCTCAGAAGATGCCAGACTAAGGGCAGGAAACCTTGTTTCCTACTCCTCGTTCTCACTGTGATTTGACTTCCAAGATGACATGATCAGAGTGAATGGAGGAGAAGGAAGCATCGTTTCCTGGCCATGTAGGAATAATTGGAACTTCATTATACAACTATACAAAAATGATGCACAACCACTGGGGCAGGGATTACTGCTTCTCCTCACAGTATTAAAAATGGTGGTGAAAAGAGAACCTTAATTGTGTAACTTTCCGTTGTAAAGGCACATTGAAGTTACTTAAACGCACATTTTTTTAACTGAAAGGCACAGATCTGGCTTAATTACTTTATAAGTGAGTAGGCAGCCTTCTGAAGGCTGTGTGTATATGCATCCTCCACACACATGTGTACCCCACCCATCCCTCTCTATGTACATCCCCAATTCAAAGAAACACTGAATAGATTTTGTGCCAAGTGCCATGCTGTTGTTCACTATTGGTTTTTATTTAAGTGCAGACAATGTTGTTGTTAATGCATGGAGTATATAGAATCATGTTACACATTTTTGGGAAAAGCGTCACCCACACATTTCTATGGTTATACTTTGGAAGCCTGTTAGAAGAGTCAGAGCCTGTAATTGTGAATATGTGGTTTTTCACACCTGGTGAAAAGGATTGTGAATATTTATTGCCTTCCTATGTTGAACAACTTTTATCTTGTGGTTGATCAGATTTTGCAATTTACTTGTACTTTAAATATGAGCAATGTTAATTCATCTAAGCATAAATCTTTGTTGATCATCTTACTCTATTCCTCTCTATGAATGTTTTACTTAGGGAACCTCCGGACATGTTCCTGGTTGGCTTCCACTGTATTTCTGCTGCATAAAAGTGTTTTTACATCATTATGGAAATGTTTGTTCCAGCTTAATATGGTGCTTCTGTCCCTCGTGGCCTGTTTATACATTTTGTACATAATTTCTGTAGCTGTTATAATTTGTTGGAGGGATTAGCAAGATAAAACAATGAAGCAATATATTAAATTTAGGGAGGTATAATCAGATTGCTGGCCAACAGATTTCTGTCCTGAACATCTGTTCTAAAATGGGTTACTCTTCAGGATAACCTCTTCAGATTTCGTGCTTGGAAACTCTGTCACCTTTGAGGCTGGCAAATGGCATACTTCCCAGCTGTCTTCCGTAAATTATACTTGGTTTGTTAAGATTTACTTATGTATTTATTTCTTCCCTCAAAGAGAAGAGTTTAGCTAACATTAGCAATAGTCTTCCCACTAGTGGGGGGCTGGGAAGGTAGTCATTATGTTTGCATCCCTGATCCTGTGTGTTTCTAGATTTTGGTGAGGCACCTCACCCATGTCTCCACCTGTCAGCGGCAAATTGCTGAAACAGTGGGTTCAATTGCCTCCACATAAGCACCTTCCCAACATCAAGCAGAATGCTACAGATGCCAGCTAGTTGATACAAACCAGAACCACCAATTAGGTGCTTAGGACAAGTAGGGCATAGAATGATGTTTTCCTGGCAGACAAAAGGCAAGAACAGGGCTTGCCAGAGGAGGCACTTGTATTCCTTCCAAGGGTCATTGGGAAAGGGATACGGAAGCCTTCACTGGCTTGCATCTTGGTGGTAACCAAAGACAAAAATAACACTCTAACAGTCTCCTCAAAGAGAACAAATGGCCACTGAAACAGCCCTGGCTCTTTCCCCTTTCCTAATCTTGTCTAAGCAATCTTACGGCAATTCAAGTGCAGAGGAGAACAATCCCCGAAAGCCTAAAGGTAGGGACCCTGTGGTCCTCCAGATGTTGTTAGACTACAGTTCCTATCATCACTAACCACTGCCCATTTTGGTCTGGAGGGCTACATGTTTCCCATTCCTGGCCTAAAAAAATGTTCAGAAAGATAGTCCAGGTCTTGAACAATACAGTTTTCTTGTAATGTAGCCCACCCACCTTGTTGGCTGGTCAGGTTGTGGAATTTATGAAAACCTAGACACACTCAACTCCTGATTGAGGCATACTAGAATGGGTTACCAGTTATTCAGCAGCACTCTCAAGGACACATTTTTCCTGACCATTTTCTGCAGCAGAGCCAAATACCAGTGGATCGCCAGAGCTATCCTGCACCATCTAGAAATCAATGAAATTTCACCTGTTCCTGGCCTCAAAAGCAGTATTTTCTCTCTTCATGAATTTGAAAACAGTTTCTTCCTCTAAGAAGAAAAATAACTCAGTACTAGCTGTCTTCTTTCCCCCAAAGAACAGAAATTCTTGGAAAAGTTCAAACTTTTTGTTTTCATTTGTTAGAATAACTGAATCATGATATAGTTTCCAAAAGAAATACAAGCACACATTTATTTTACAAATTTAAAAATTCCAGTAGCTCCTTTTTACCTTAATGATTTCAGTTAATGACCTCCTTAATGTGAAATAAATGTGCCTTCAAAGTAATAATTAGAAGAACTTAATTGATCCTCTATTATCCTGCAGTGTTTATGTTACAACACAGCTGGAGGAATAGTGAAATTAGTGTGTTGTGCAGTCTCACTTAACTTTGTTCCTTCCACCCACAGGTTGTAAGGCAAGATAGATTTGTAAAGGAAAAAACTGTGAATATGCCATATTGCTAAACAGTGTATATATCTCCTTCAGATGAATGCACTAGACACCCTTGGACAAACAGCTTTGCACAGAGCTGCTTTGGCAGGTCACCTGCAGACTTGTCGCCTTCTGCTGAGTTATGGCTCTGACCCCTCCATCATCTCCTTACAAGGTTTCACAGCAGCACAGATGGGCAGCGAAGCAGTGCAGCAGATACTCAATGGTGAGGATTCTGTTGTTTGATACTAAGCAGTTGCCAGTGCACAGATATGCTGCAAGGCCATCTCTGCCCAGGGAGGACTGCAGTTGGTATACTAGCCTCAGGCCTCAGTTGGTAAAGGCTTCCAAAAGGCACTTAGGCCTCTGAAAACAGGACAAGACCCAGAGCACCTCCAAACTCTGGACCTAAACCTATATAAGGCAGTACTGTTCCATCCAAAGCAGAATAACAGAAAATACTTTATATGCAAGATATATTAGGTATGTCTTGAATATTCCTTCATTTTCATATTGGCCTCAAAATGAATACACTGACCTGGTTCCCATGTAACAGTTAATCATGGGTGAAAGAACTCATAATTAGCTCTGGCTCATGCCTGACCAGGCAGGTGTGTATCCTCCTGCATGCCCATCATTTCCACTTTTTTCCTGATCACCAAACAACCCACTAATGCTTCATCTTCTTTCCATATCTCCCTCAGCAATCCAGAGTGGCCAGCCTGCACATCACAGTGAAAAACCAAGAACACGGAGTGCCACTGGATAGATTATGTTATTTTCCTTCCTCTTTGCACTTGTCCTCATTTACTGGGACTGCTATTTAAGCTGATCAGTTAGGGGGAACCACAGGAAGACAATGTGAGCAAATCAAACTTAGTGACACAAAGAACAGCAACATATATATATATATTTGCAATGAGTGTTCAGAATCAACAAAACCAGGAAATGCTTTCTAACACTCAGGTTGACAAAGCCAGTGAGGCCCTTCTCAGCTCAATAGTCACTTGTCAATATGTAATTCTATCAGTGGTCTTAGGGATATACAACACTTACCAGCTATTTCCAGTGTGACCCATAAAACTATCCATTTCTCCCATACAGCCCAGTCATTCTACCTACCAGCTTCTTTTGCAGTCCCTCCCCATCCCCTAATGGGGAAAGCTCTTATTTCCAATGAATTTCTAAGAGGCAGGGTGGATCCTGGGAAGAAAGTTGTTGAGTGATTTGGTCTTGCTCGCTTCTGAAGTTTGCCTTGTAATGGCTTACCCTGCTTGGTCATGAGTAGACCCTCTGCTCAAGCTTACATCTTGGTACTTGGGATGATATTTCAAAGTGTTGCTGAGCCATTCAGTTAAAAAAAAAAGTTCACCATGCTGCTTGCCTAGGGTTTTTATGCTTTATTTAGTGGATTTCTTTTGAATTTTGTATTTGAAGCTTGTTGTTGCATGCCCTAGGGCTACAGAAGTGGCAAGCTGGAATTTTTCAAATGAGTTAAGCCAATTGGATGAATATTTCAGAGCTTGTGTTGTACAAAAGCAGTAACAATTGTAGCAGCAAAGGTCATCTGTGTTAAGAGTCAAAAGGCAGAAGGTAAAATCAAACAGCGGCTGCCCAGTTGTGCCACATGAGGAAGTTTCCGACTTAAATACTTAAACACTGTTTCTGTATAACCAAGATGCTTATATGTTTCTTGTCTGTCATGTAGAGAGCACTCCAGTACATACATCTGATGTGGATTATAGATTGTTGGAAGCCTCTAAAGCTGGAGATTTGGAAACTGTGAAGGTAGGTTAGAGTAAATAACTTCCATTGTGCATTTTATATTTCTTTCATGGCTTCTGCTGTTTGCCTAGAAAAAGAAAGCATGTTGTTTCATGGTGGTTCTGTTGTGCGTGTATTCCATAACACAGTTGGATAATGAGCAGGTATATCTGCTTGCTCTTGAATCAGTGGAACTAACTTGTTCATGATCGCTGTTACAGCAGTATAAGAAGCTCGTGACTTAAAGAGCTGCTTTACGGTAACAAACCCCACTGAACTTTGGACACTCATTCTTCCACTCCTCTCAGCACAGTTGTGAATAGGATTTGTTCAAAACAACTTTATAATCTGTGGATTGAAATTGGCTTGTTTCCAAACAGATTTAGAGTAATCAGAGTTCATTGCTTTTGGATAAAATGACAAACTATAGTTAATCAAAAATGGAAATGAAAGTTTCCAATCTCCTTATGAATTATTCAGCTCTATGGTGAAGCAACATTTTTCTTGTATTGATGCATTTCCTTACTTAATTATATTTTCATTGTTACTTAGTAAACTCTAGATTCAATATAAATAGGGTATAGGTAATAGTTGGTCATGTGGTCTTTTGCAGGGGTGGATGGACAATGAATCTAATATGACAGAAATTTTATTTAAATGCTGCACTGTTGAACAGAACCATATATAATCTGATATTTAGGTCAGATAGCACCCATTAAGGTAGCTTTAAAAATTACCAGCGGTTGTAATTTATTGAATAAAAAATGGAATTGTGTTACAGATTACTCCTTTTAGTAAAGAGCAAAACTAGATAAGGATGTGAAGTGTGTTTTATAATTATTCACTATTTGAACTTTTATGTCTTCTCACAGATATTGGAAGCTTTAGACCTCATTGTCTTGTATTTGGGTTTTATCCCCATTCACTATTATCAGGATCCAAGTTACTGTAGTGATCTTCCTTTGTTGAATACTTTGCATTAAAATACAGAATGTTCTCTTCTATAATGTTTTTACGTGTGTTTTTGCTCACTTATGATCAAAGAAGTAGGAGAGCTAAACAGTTGACATGCCTCTTGTAACTCCTAATAGATGAAGACAATGTCCTTTATGAGTGTAATGAGCAAGGTGTTTCAGGCACCAACTTTTGGTTTCTCCTCTTCATTGAATATAATTACTCTGCAGTGGCTCATTAAGTCTTTACAATTCTAAATGTCATTAGTATGGCGACAGGTTGCAAACAGTTCTCTTTTACAAAATCTGAAGAGCTCTGGAAATTATGAAGTGGATGATGATGATGATAGGTAAAGTATCGAGGTAGGCATACAGATCTATCTTTTGTTGTTGCATTGTATGAGATTGGAGCAAAGCACCACATTATTCTCACATTATTGAGGCTGGTCTTTTTTAAAAGAAATAATAGTCCTGTGGCACCTTAAACTCATGATTTTATTATGGTAAAATTTGTGCCACAAACAAATGTTATAATCACCACAGGAATCTTAGTATTCTCTCTACAACAGACAAATTCAGAACTGCTTCTGAAATTCGTTACCATGTTTTATTTGCATGAGTACATGTGAAGTTACTGTTTTGAGCTGATGTTTTTTTACTGGCAATAGGCTGGTTTACATGATTACCGCAGCCAGTTATATAAGTTAAAAGCCAAGATGGGTTTTAGTGCAAGCCCTTGGCCATTTTAGTTTAGGGTTGCCATGGTTTGTTATGCCATCTGAACCCAGATGGCAGCAGTTGTTTGAAATTAAATGGCCCTCAAATAACCCTACAACATATCACTGGTTATTCGAAGGGTCTTTAGCCCTCAGAGAACCTGTGCTGCCCAGGTTTGGACAACATGACAAACCATAACAACTCCTTTCTGGGGGTTTAATATTCAAAATGGCATCACAGCCCCTCATGGTTTAAATACCACAGTGGGTTCTGGTGATCCTATGAACCGGGCCAGTTTATGGGCTATATACTACATCTTTTCAGGTGTTTTCAAAGAACAGTTAAGAGGGAATGCCATACTTGTACACAAGCTCAATCAGAAAATTAGTGTAGAGACTAGGATTAAAACACAGGTTTCATGTTCCCATTGTATTTTGGATCCTCTCAAGTACAACAGATACTAAAATCTACTGACATTTGAGTTTACTGTCGTGCTTCATGGGAATTTAAAATATTAACCAATATGTATTCTTTTTGTGTTCTTTATTAATAGTGTTATTAAATAATAAAGCCCCAGGGTGCCCACTTCATTATTAAACAAGAAGGTAATATTTAAATGATCAATTCAAGATTTTACCTCTCTAAATCAGGACATGAAAGAAGGAATTCAGACTAAAAATAGTGTCAACTGTCATAAAGCATTGTCCTCTCATTTTTACACTGAGGATAGGAAGTGACTGTTTGAAAACATAGCATGATGATCAGTTATGAGTTCCTTTTTTTTTCTTTTTTCTTTTTTGCATTTTTTACCCACAGCAACTTTGCAGTCCCCAGAATGTGAACTGCAGAGATTTGGAGGGACGCCATTCAACTCCACTGCATTTTGCTGCGGGTTATAACCGAGTCTCAGTAGTGGAATACTTGCTTCACCATGGAGCAGACGTTCATGCAAAGGATAAAGGGTAAGTGAGACTCCTCAGTTTACTGTTTCATGTGTGGATGGAATGGCTTCCTTCCATACAAGCCTTTTCAGCAAAGGCTGTCTTGGACTCTGCTGTAACTGTGGCTTACAGTTTGCTCTGATGCGTTTGTCTAAAACAGCTGTCTTCAAACTTTTTCAATAGGGGGCCAGTTGAAAGGCTGCGGTGACTGTCATGAGCCAGTGAGGCGGGGGTGCCTGGGGGCGTGGGCCAGTGAGGTGCCGGCCCGGCACGCGGGTCAGGCGTGCGTGAGGCGGCATCGGGCACGCACAGTGGTGGCTCGCTCGGAGATCTCCCAGCAAGTCCAAAACCATCTCCGAGTGAGCAGGCCACCGCCTTCCCACCTGCGCCACCCGCTTGGGCCGGATGGATGGCCATGGCGGGCTGGATCCATCCTGCGGGCCGTAGTTTGAGGACCCATGGTCTAAAACTTAATTCTCACTGAATTGATCGACTATGGTAGGATTATAGATGGGGCCTTGAGGGTTTAGATGGGACCCAGAGAATGGGATTTTCTATTTGAAAAACTGCAGCCACCACTATCTAACAAGTTGAAGGCAGACTGAGGCTCCTGATATGTAGTTTTCTGTATGTAGAGATTTTTTTGTATGGAGGTACATGGAGTCACATGGATTTCCACTTGGAATCTGAAGAAGTAGAGTCCAGATACAAGCACCCATGCGCGCATGCGGACACACACACACACACACTGCACAACTTGAGTGAGAACTAGGGCTACCTTGATGTGTATACAAGCAATTTTATCTGGAATATGACTGGCAAACATAGATTGCTTCTTACAGAACAAAGTGCTTCTGGTGGGATCAGAATATGCAGTATGTATTGGCTGCATAAATTCTTGGTTTTGTTAGAAAGATAGTTAAATGTCATCATATCTTGGTAGATAATTACCATTTTTACAGTTTAAGATCTTATATTATTATCAATACGTTTCTCTGTTTGATTAGTGGCTTAGTACCTCTACATAATGCCTGTTCATATGGACACTATGAAGTGGCAGAATTATTGGTGAGACATGGGGCATCTGTCAATGTGGCAGATCTGTGGAAATTTACACCACTCCATGAGGCAGCAGCAAAGGGGAAATATGAAATCTGTAAGCTTCTTCTAAAGGTATGTAGTTCATAATGTCTTTAGATTTTCTTTTGTCAATTTGCATTCACTGAACTAGACTTACGCATATGCTGCCATATGCAGCATTTCTGTGAACCTTCTTAAGAATGGCAGTATCATTAATAGGTAGATATAAAATATTGTTATTTAGAAGGCAGGCATTGTACCCTTTTTCATATTGCAAACTAACAGAGTAATAATTCTGCATATTTAGTGTGTAAAAATGCACTAAAAACCTGAACTTCACTTTTAATTGGATTCTACTCTGTTTAATATTAGTAAAGGATAAATTGTAAGAAGTAAGGCTGTTTGTGGTCACAAACCCAGGAATAAACTTCTAAAATTGGCTATTGCCCTATCAATCTGCTCTGCTTTTGTGCTATTATTGCTGCTTCATGCATTATTCATATTGCTGCCATTGTGAAAACAAGCTGAGGCTCTTTTAGATGTTACTTAAACTTGACTCTGAGCTTAAAGGAAACTGCTTTGTATTTTTGTAGGGGAGAAAAAGTATTGAGTCAATATTTAGCCCCAGAGCCCACAAAAGGTCAAGAATTACTGTATGTCTTGGGGCAACTTATTGCTGCTTCACTGGTTTTCATGTATTTAGATGAGCATACGCAATTTCTGAAGCAAAGCTGTGATGTTCTAAGATAAGTTACCAATCACGTAATCACTTATCTCCCAGCCAGTATTGGAAGATAAGGAAAAAGTTGAGGGAATCTATCTGAACCTTCTCCAAGGAGAGCTGCAGTGGGAAGATTTGCTGGATACGCCATATCAATTTTAAATGTTTTAGATCAGTGGTTTTCAACCTTTCCACAGCTGGGGACTGGCAAAAACAGGAAAACCATCTTGGGGACCACTGAGACAGAAACAAAAAGCACCATACACATAATGCAGCATTCTGTGTATTAGTTTCCAAACACAGTACCAAAAAAAAAATATGAAAATTATCTAAAACAACCAGAAACTGAGCAACAAAAAATGCTAACAAAATACCAAATACCATGGCTCCCAGCTGCCTCCCACTGAACCATCTCTCCCCTCCCTGCCCTCCCCCCACGGCACCAGTGCACCCCCCACAAATGCGATGCCAATTGAAGAGGCAGTGGAGCACAGACAGCCTCTGCGCCTGTCCGTGACAAGCAGGATATGGCCCCCCCACAGACCGGCAGGAAATCTTGCAGACTGGCACCGTCCACAGACCAGTGGAAAATCACTGTTTTAGATGAACATGAGAAGATCACAACAATGTTTGGTCCACCATTTTGTGTCTAACAGTGGTCACAAAAAGGGAAGCAAATAAGCAGGGTATGAATGGCATTTCCATGGTCTCTTCCCTAATATGAAAGAGGTAGTATTGACCAACTATTGCTCTTGTATTCTTAGATTACTGACCTTATGAATTTGTCATAAATTAATTTTTGCTGTTCCCACAGCCCATGAAAGAATAGAACTCATTATTCAGCTTCTTAAATTTAGGGGGTGGGGGAAAGATTGTCTATCTCCTGGTAGTAGTAAGTGTCTTGGCCAGTCTTCCCTCCCTTCTTCCAAGCAGATCATGACTAAGACTTTCTAACTAATGGTCTTTATTATGCTAAAGCTAAGCAGCAAAGCTGGCTTTTTGATACAAAAGAAGTCAATAACAGCAGCAAGGAGACAAATTAGAATATTGGTCATTGGGAAAATATGGCTTAATGATAAGAAGTTGGTACAAACTGAATACCTCTCTCCCCTTCCAAACTGAAAAGGGCTAACTGCCTTTCAAGGTGATCAACCACTTGGAGCATCTGACATGTCTCAGTTGCTCCATTCTGCCAACCTGACAGGTAAGATTGGACTAAGGAGGTTGGGTCCTCCTCCATGAAGGAGCCTCCTCCTGTATCAGCTAGCTTACTAGACTTTCCTACAGAACTTGAAATGTTTGTTTTTCAGCAACTGGCTGACTTACTTCTGAGTCCTCTGGCCTTAGCAATTCAGCTGTGGATTCTGACCCCCATCTCCTTCCTCTTAGTCAGAATCCAATCCAACAATCCTTAAAGGCTGTTTTATAGGTGGAGTGAGCCCAACCTCTGCAATGAGGCTGCTGTTGTCCACATCTGGTTCTGCACTGATTTGTTTCTTTGAAAAATCACAAGTACAATCCAACTTGTAGCTAATGCTGAATAATCTTTTTCTCAGAGTTCTTCCCTGTTACTGTGGTATTAGATGTCTTTTCTGGAGAGCTATAAGCTAATTTGCAAAAACTCCTGTGGAGGAAACTATTGAAGTTGTGAGATCAGCTACTAATTCTATTTTATATTGTACTATTTTGTATGTATTCAGATGGTGGACTGTTGATAAACGTATAACACTACTATGTCTTTTTGAGGGAATTTACAGTGTTAAAGAAAAGAGGGGAAGAAACAGTCACAGATTATTTTTTCTCCTCCTCCTCCTTTTTTCTTTTTCTTGGAATTATTTGTGGAAGGAATAATTATATTTAAAATATGCAAGTTAATCCAGCAAAGGGGACATGCCTACATACAGTTAATGGTAAATAGGTGGGCCCAGCACTCCTCAACATTTTTATTAATGACTTGGATGAAGAGGTGCAGGGAATGCTTGTCAGATTTACAGATGATACAAAAATGGGTGGGATAGCTAATACCCTGGAAGGCAGAATCAAAATGCAAAGTGAACTTGATAGGCTGGAGTGCTGTGCTGAAAGTAACATAATGAAATTCAATAGGGACAAATGCCAAGTTCTCCTCCTAGAAAAAAGAAAACAAATGCACAGTGACAAGATGGGAGATACCTTATCAATATCTTAACAGTAACAGGCTTAACAGTACCATGAGTGAAAAGTATCTTGGTATTGTTGTTGAATTTGAGGTTGAATATGAGTCAATACTGTGATTTAGCTTCTAAAAAGTTAATGCTATATTGGGCTGCATTCATAGAAGTGTAGCTTCCAAATCACATGAAGTACTGGTTCCCCTCTATTCAGCAGTAGTTAGGCCTCATCTGGAGTATTGCATCCAGTTCAGGGTGCCACAGTTTAAAAAAGATGCAGACAAGCTGGAAAGGATTCAGAGGAGGACAACAAGGATGATCAGAGGACTGGAAACAAAACCCAATGAGGAAAGATTGAGAGAACTGGACATGTTTAGCATTGAGGGGGGGGGGAGATTAAGGAGAGAGATGATAGCACTCTACAAGTACATGAAAGGCTGTCACAAAGAGGAAGGCCAGGATATCATCTTGATTCTCCCAGAGTATAGGACATAGAATAATGGGCTTAAGGTACATAAAACCAGATTTCTGCTGAATATTGACTGTTAGAGCAGTACAGCAGTGGAACCAATGACCTAGGGAGGCTACAGGTGCTCCCACACTGGAGGCATTCCAGAAGCAATTAGACAGCCATCTTGGATGCTTTAGCTTGTGGTCCTGTGTTGACCAGGGAGTTGGGACTTGATAGCCTGGCCTTATAGACCCCTTCCAGCTCTACTATTCTTTAGATTCTATGATATCTGTCTGGTTATATGACAAAATGCCAATCTCATCTTCATTGAGTTTAATTCTATATTTGGCATGGGTGGAGAGGTACATCCACATCTGGGACACCTAGTCACATGCAATAAAGCCTGACTAGCGCTGGATGAGGGCCAATTTATTTTAATTCTATTGAGCTGCTTAATCAGGTTAGAAGATGGAAAATTGCTAAATGGATTAAGCAAGAGAAAGCAGATTTCAGGCAACCAAAATCTCACTGTATAAGTACAGTATTTAAAGGGGATTTTCTTGGCTTGCTCTGAGATAAAACACACGGATAATTGTAGCAAAGGATGATTTTGGTAGTTAAGTAAGGATATGTATTTGTAAGAGGGAAGAGAAGATTGACATTTGGTAGTGGATTTGAATTAATGTTAGACTTTGAAGGTTTCATGCAGTACTTCTGAAAGAGAGCAATGTTGGTGGAGAATTATTGATTGCAGAGCACTGATCTTACGAGCCTCAAGTGAGAACAAGACACAGTGCTCCATCATAGTGTGCTAATCCCAAGTTTAAGGAGTGAGTGATAAAAAAAGAACTTATTGTGAAATATAAAAATATATCTACCTTGAACAAATAGGATATGTTGAAATAAGTTTACCTACATATTTCCTCTGGAAGTTATTGTTCAATTCAATTCATTCTATGTAAGTAATATACATTTGTTTATATCATTCTTTAGAAGGTATTACATTACAGGTACATTATTAGAGTTTGACTGGGTAGGAATTAAGAGGCCTTTGCTAGAGAATGTGAACATTAAAGGCTGTATCTTCATTTGGTCTTGCAGATTGCAACTGTGTATAAAATACTTCTGACCAAGTAACTTGATGTTTATTTTCTAATTCTAAACTTTGCTGTGTCTGGTTTTGTGTACTTCATTTTTAATACAAAAGGTTGCAGTCAGGGTTGAGGCTGAATTAGATTTCCCACCAGTATTTCTCAATACAAATAGCCCCTTTAGTTGTAACAGTAGTTTCAAAAACAACATGGTAGACTTAGGGATAAAAGAAGCAGCCCCCATGGTTAAGCCTGATCATATCTGGCCCAAATTTTTAGGGCTGTTTCAGTCAAAGATCAAAACAGCTACTCTCTAACCGTTAACTATGATTTTAGTAATCTATAGAATAGATAGGGTAGATTGGATCTCTGGTTTTTACAAAAGAATGTACAATTCTGTATAGTCTTTTCTGTGTAATGTTTAATAGGTTTAGGCCTTTCTGCCTAAGTACTCAGAATTGATTGTAGTTTTACATTAAAAAAAAAATCAGTAATATTTACAAGTAGGCTAAAATGTAGCTTGTCTCTTCTGTTACTTGTTAGCAGTAAGAAGTTATGGATGTTGTACACATTTACATAGAACCTATATATGCAGAATAGAGAACTTGTTACTTCTTTGGGCCTTTGCTCAGTCATATCACTTTTGCAAAATGTAGGAGTATAATACCAAATCAACCAGTCAAAAGCTATGTAAAGACACATACACACACTATTTCTTGCATGTCTATCCTCCAAAGAAGTTAATGACAACTTAATTTAAGCGTGCAGTGCATATGTCTTTGGAAGACTCCATGGCCACAGTCTCACACAAGATTAGTTTCACTTAAGCTCCTTCACATAAGTGGAATTTAAGTGCATGCAATTATGCACTGGATGGCCTGTGGCCCATATTTTCAGTCATGGATGTGATTTCTTGAGTGCATAGCCATACAGTTGAGGAGTAGGTAGAAGAGATAGTCATGCAGTGGTCTGCTTAAACCCCTGGATTTTAGCATAGTCTCCCTGTCCTCACTGTCTAAATTTAAACTGTGAGCTGCTTGGAATAGAGCCATTTTTTTTTACTGCATGTGCAACTCTGTAAAGTGATGTATATGCTGATGGTACTGAATGAACATTAAACAAAAATAGCATATACTCTTCTGTTTGGGAGGCTTTGGGGGGCAGGGGGAGAGGAGAACCTAAGCTAGCCTGCATCTAATTTCTGCTAGTAAACACTCAACATGTTATTTGCAGCATGGAGCAGATCCAACTAAAAAGAACAGAGATGGGAACACACCCCTAGACTTGGTGAAAGAGGGAGACACAGATATTCAGGATCTTCTGCGAGGTGATGCTGCCCTCTTGGATGCAGCCAAAAAGGGATGTTTGGCCCGAGTTCAGAAGCTGTGTTCTCCAGAAAACATCAATTGCCGAGATACCCAAGGACGAAACTCCACCCCACTGCATCTTGCCGGTGAGTTATCAGGATTACTGAATCACACAGTCATGTATTCATTCGTAGAAAGTTATCTTAGAATCAGTGGGCACATCTGCACTTTACATTTAGCCACCATGTGAGTAAGCTGGATAGTGTGGGTTGTTGGCAAAGAAAATGCCTGACAGACATTCATGACACTATATTTTGTTCTGCTCTGCTCCGTCTCAGACCTTCAGCCAGTTCCCACATGTAGCCCTGGAGCCTTTGTATCCCATGTGCCCTTGTTCTCTCACTATGCCAGCAGCCTTTTTTCCTATTGGACTGCTGCTTGTTTGGGGCCTGTTCTGCTTTGCTGGATCCCATTGGAAAGTTTTTCTATCCCTTCATACCTATTGATATCTGCCTGCATTTCTAATAAAGACTGGAGCTGTTTTCATTCTGTTTTGTGGTTTTGATTAGCATGCTGCTGTCTTCACCTGCCTGTACTGCTTGTGGCATTCATCCAGCCTCCCTCTCCCCGCCACTCCTGCAAGCAGCTTTAGTGCCACCTTCCTTCATTCCGTTTCCCAGCTCTTCCAGATTCTGCTGCATCTCCTGTCATCTCACCCACACACCCCTTGGGTCTGTCAGCCACACTGCTTTCACTTATCCTCCCACCTGCGTTTGTCTCAAGTCTTCTCCCATTCTGTCCCACACACTTCTACCTCATGGCCCAACTTCTCGATCAGTTTTTCTACTGACATCTCCCTCTTCCCTCCTTCCTCTCTCTTACTGTGCAACCCCTCCAATTGCACCAGCCTCCTTTTCCTGGCAGCCATAGTGGTTGTAGGGAGCTGATTAAGAATCTTCCCATGGTTAGTTTGTCTGCCAAAGGTGAGTTCTCGAACATAGCTGTGTTGTGGCTTCTTTGTCAGGTTCCTGTGACTCCATTAATCCCTTTTAAGTCCTCAAGCACCTGGAAGGCCATGCTGTAAAAACATTTTCAGCTGTAGAACTCTTCACCCAACCTAGGAGGAACTAAAATATGCATGTGCAAGGAATCCAGATCCCCTGCTGCCCAGGGGAATCCCACTTCAACAAAACTCTTCATGTTTTCTCTCGTCCCCACCTTTATGATATCAGTGAGATAAAGCTCATTCCGAATGTGCAAATCTCTCTGAAAATTTTGCATGCAGTAGACTCCCCTACTCCAAAGGTAGTGCTGAGAGGGAAGTACACAATGTGAAAGTAAGTCTGTAGAGGATCTGTTTTTAACCAATATGAACTCCTGCACTATGGTCTCTCAGTGATAAGTTGTAGTTTCCGATACTGTGATTTCAGAAGTGGTCTGGCAAAATCTGGCATCATTCCAAGCATCTGAGTTCAGAATTTGTGACCATAGGGTTTTGGTGTATGGAGTGACCACCAATGGATGACACATCTGTCTTCAGTGAGCTGCCCCACCATGGCAGCATGGACTATGGCATCACAGCTTCCTTTCATAGAGACAAACATTTACATCCACTTCAGCCCTCTTAAACCTTCTCACAGCAGCCTGATAAAGGCTTCTTGCATAGCCCCTGCTTCATCCCCCTCATTTCCCACTACAGCATACAGGTAGCTGGTGCTGATGTTGCATCATGGTGCTTGAGGATGTCATCATGGCGATCAATAAAGGCTGTTAGAGAACAGTAATACGTGCTGCTTCTGCCATAAGTCCCTCCAAAGTACAGGGCAGTGGTTGAAGCAGCCGTATCTCTCATTCATTCAGCTCTTAAGACTGGGTTGCTCATTCTGATCTCTTAAAGATAATAAGGGGGGAAGCCAGTACTGTTAGTGTTTGAAATTAGGTAGCAGGGGAAGGGGATTTCTACTGCAACCTGAAAACAGTGCTAACCACCACCTGCAGGCTGCAGCAAGTGGCTCATGATCCATAGACCAGATTTGATTGTTGATCTGCTACATGTATCTGTGAGAAGCTGGTACAGCTTCTCAGAGAGTTGAGCTACTGTTGTGTTTAGAATGCGGATAACCCAAAGGGGCAGGGGATTGAACAGGGGCAGAGGAGAGAGAGTGAAGAAAGGGCATGTGAGTAGTGATCCCCATTCCAACCCTCCCTTTACACACACAGCATAGCATCCTGCCCATACAACTGTAGGAGTAAACGCACCATTGTGCCTAAGGTATTGTGTGCAGTGGTGATTCCATTTGATCCTTCAGTGAAGTGCTCCATGGTTCCAGAAATGAAAGTGAACCATCCCAGCTGCTCCCATTTGATGCCCCTTGGGTCAATAGAATGCCTAGGGCACAGCGACATTTCATTTTTCTGTCCGCAACAGTCCTTGAAAACAACCCTGTATTAATTCTTATTCAGCTACACACTGAAATGGAAGAAACAAAGTATTATGTACTAAGGAAAGCTCTTCAGTGGCTTCCTGGCAATTAGCAGGTGAGTGCATCATAAGCATCGCTAGATTGCTGCCACTCCTCCATATTCAGTTGCTTGGAGCTGCTGGTGGGAGAGCACTGATGTCTTGGGGGAGCATCTTCGTAGTGAGTGGCAGTCTAGCTCTGACTGCATTTCCTTTGGGAGAGTACTTCAGACTGCCTTCTGGATGGCTATGCCTGAGTCCTGTCTTTTCTGAAGAATGTCTATGGGGTCCTGTGATGCAGTTGCTTTCATGGTTTCTTTCCTATAGCAGAAGGAAAACACCTTGGGCTGCTTGTATGGGATGAGTTCATTGTTGGTGAATTAGTTCCCAAAGAAGGGTGGGCTGGTTGCTGAGGAAACAGAGATAGCCATTGTCTCAACTCTGAATGGATGTTTAGGCAGCTCAGAATCTGGCAAAATCGCTGCATGCCTTGGATGTACTGGAGACTATTGTCCATGTGGTATAAAGCTCAGCTCATCTTGACATTCCAGAGTTATTGGGGAAAGGTGGTGCCGGAAAGGCGGTGCCAGTGGTGTGCGCAGGCCGACGTGAGGGCGGGGGTGGTGCGTGCAGGCGCGCACACTGAGGCAGGGGTGGGGTGCGCGGGGCGAGGGGAGGTACACGAGGCAGCAGCTTGCTCGCTTGGAGATCGTTTTCGCCGAGTGAGCAAACTGCTGCCTCCCCGCGCACGGGGCGAGGTGGGCAGTGGCAGGTGTGCACACGGTGGGTCCAAATAAGCATGGCGGGGCAGATAAATGGGCCTGGCGGGCCAGATCCGGCCCCCAGGCCGTAGTTTGAGGACCCATGGCACGGAGGCTGGCAATTCTTTGTGAACTGGTAGCTGCCTCTCTGTGGATGGCTTAATGGAATCCTGCTGCCAGTGGAATAATGGAGTGTCATGTCCCTCCAGTCTAGCAAGATAATCGCAAGCTTGTCATAGAGTGGTCCAGCATGTGGCTCTAGCTCTCACCACTTGCTGTGCACCATGATTTCCTGAAGCATGAAACTTCTCTTTGTCCTGTATGGAGACACGAGAGTAGTCCTGTACTAGCATCTGAACAGAAACTCAGGGAAACAAACTCCTGTTCCTGGTGCTCTGGAGGTGCTCATGGGCTTCTGCACTTATTCAGAGATCCGTGAATGTGCCTAGCTCAGCCTCACTGCAAAAGTGCTTCAGAATCCTCACATGCTGCTTCTTTCCCTCTGACTTGGCCAAGGTCCAGATGCTTGTGTGGCGTGATCTTGTGAGAAGAATGAGGGCAAGGAAGCACCATCTGCCACTTCTGCAGGCTCCGTGGTGCCATATGGGCAGCAAATGACTCTAGAAAGCAAACTCTGTAGACTGCAACTGCTAAAGTACCTTGAATATTTTAGTACAGTTTCTGGGTTGACTGTTAGTTTCCTACGCACAGGAGAGGTGGTCACGGAAAGGATAAGTTAGAGTTCCAGCATTTAGAAGAAATTGGCCATCAACATTTCACGTAAAAGTGTGTGGTTTTAGCCATTGCACAAATGCAAAGTGATGTTCCACACAGCATTAAGGGATTGCACAAAATGAAGTCTCAAATAATTATATTTTTTCAATTAAATATAGGATTTCTCCTGTTGAGAAATAATGCTGTGGGGCAGAAGGGAGGCAGAGAGAGTGAATTGGAAATTCAGCTGAAGCTGGCAAGATAACAAGCTCCTTCAAGGTTTTTGTACAGATAACACATGGCTGCCTCCCATGGGCAAGAAAATGCTGCTTTGCTGACAAGTAAAGCAGCGAACAGATGCAGGAGAAGACTGCTGAGGAAAGAGGGAGACACATGCTGGTGCATGGCTGTGTTGCTAGGCAGACTTTGGGAAGCACGATAGCTCATGAGAGGAGGAGCTGCTGTATTTTTGGCCACCCCGGTGGCACTTTTCAACAAGCTGCAACAAAATTGGTATTCTGGGTTCAAATGACAAAACAATTCATTGTGGGTATGAAATCCCTTTGAACAAGCCTTGGGCTGGCAGTGTAGCTTGTCCATGAGATTACATCACCCCATGTTAGACGCACTGGGTTTGAACAAAACAGGAACATGGGATGAGCGTGGGGTGGCATAATTTTCATGAACAAGCCCCCCTGACAACAAGCCGTATCATTTGAAACAGGTCTTCTCAGCTACCTAAAGAATTATAAAATTAACAGGAAGCTAGACATTAAGAAAAATGCAGGTGAGTTTCTTTCATTGCTGAGGTTTTTGTCAATGTTTTTCTTCCTATAGCTGGCTACAATAATTTGGAAGTTGCTGAATATCTTCTAGAGCATGGTGCTGATGTCAACGCTCAAGACAAAGGAGGATTAATTCCACTACATAATGCAGCATCCTATGGGGTGAGTATTAATTAATTAATATATGCATTTTCAAGACCTGTATCCTGCCTTTCTGTAGAATAGAATAACCAGTGCTAAGCCAGTAAAACAATACACAATTTAAAAAAACAAGAAATCATCAATTAAAAAACCAAAACAGCAGTGAAGATAGTAGCAGCATAAAAACCATTTAAGAGCAGTCATCAACAAAAGTTTGCCAAACTAGATAGCTTTTTCTTACTATAGTTTTGCTTGTGAGTAGGAATATCTGTCAAATAGAAAACATTTAAGAATTTTCCAGAATTGTCCACTGAACTAGCATGAATAGACCATTTATCAACTGTTCACTGCATGCATGTAAGCATTTGGTAAGCTGGTGGATTTAAAACACTTTAGCATGTAATCAGACATCTGGAAACAACAACGGAGATAACTGGGTTTTAAGTGAAGACATAAAAATACCACACCCAAGTTACCACTTGGTAAATAACCATCTGCGTTCTCCTGTGGACTAAAACCCAGGGCCAAGTCATTCAGATAAGCCTGAAAGGCTCCAAGGCTTCTCCATACCCTTTCTTAATTGTAATGGTAGAGGCCCCATGAGTGAGGGCATTCAAGGAAAGATTGGACAACCACACTTTGGGCATTTCATGAGTGGAGCCAAGTGGAGCTGGCAGTCAGACTAGATGGCCCAGGTTACCCCTTCTGACTTGCAGTGTTTCTATGTAATCAATAAAGCATCCCTTTTAATACCTTTGTAGGAAGAAGGAAACAGACAGGTGTATCCACTCCCATTAGGGGAAACTCCAGGTATTAGAAAACTGCAGGGGCCTAATCTAGAGTTGTAGTGAACTTTGTATGTGGACGAATACAATCCTACCCTGCACATGGATATGTACATATTGAGGTGTTCATATTTGTTGTATGTTGACAGCACTGAGTGTATCCATCTATGTTACATAACAAATCATTTTTGCTTTTGGTCTTCCTGCATTGTACCTTTTTACTACTATATTCTTTTCCCCCCTGTATATGTAATTTCCCTCCAGCATGTGGATATAGCAGCTTTGCTGATTAAATACAATACCTGTGTAAATGCTACAGATAAATGGGCATTTACACCATTGCATGAAGCAGCGCAAAAAGGAAGGACGCAGCTGTGTGCTCTACTTCTAGCTCATGGAGCAGACCCAACAATGAAGAACCAAGAAGGCCAAACACCTTTGGATCTGGCTACCGTAAGATCATTTTTTAAAGTAGCAGCAATTTTTTCTATATTTCATATTCCAGTCCCTAACACAGTGATGGTGAACCTTTTAGAGACTGAGTGCCCAAACTGCAACCCAGAACCCACTTATTTATCGCAAAGTGCCAACACTGCAATAAAACCTGAATACTGAGGTTTTAGTTTAGAAAAAACAACTCACAGCCAGTCCAAGCAAATATATATATATATATATATCCTTGGCAGTACACTGATCGGCCACGCGAAAGTCGCGGCTAATGAGTTGTGGCTCGTGACATCATCGCCTGGCGCCACTACTCCTTTCCGAGCATGTGCATGGCCCCTATGTGTGCTGTTATCCAATGCTCAGCTGCTGGGGCGATGCTGGGGCGACTTGCCTCCCGTGCCAACAGAGAGGGCTGTGCGTGCCTGTTGCAGCATATGTGCCATAGGTTCACCACCACTGCCCTAACGAGTGTAATACCACATTTATCTACTTACTCCGTTACATTTATGTCCTGACCTTGTTTCAACAAACTCAGGGTGGCGATTGTGAGTTGGCCTGACTTCATTCCCTGAAACAACATTCCCTGTGAGGTCAGTTAGATTTACAGTGTGTCACTCATCCAATATTACCCAGTGAGTTTCAACTGAATCTTATCAGTCCAAATTAATTACGCTACACTGAGTGTCTTATTCAAATTCTCTTCCTTGGCATCATAGTGAAGACTATTCATAACTTTACATAAATTGTAAACCCTCGTTGTGAAAACTTCATTCAGGCAAACCATGATGCCAGTCTAATGCCCCTGTCATGACTACTTCATAATTACTTCCCTCCTTCATTTGAGTTTGATTCTGTTACTTGAACTTTATCTTCAACTTTAAAAGACAAATGTTTGTAGCTGGAATGTTAGTTTGTGAATGTAATTTAAGTCTCTTTTTTTCCCTGGAAAAGCTTAGGTACAGTAGAGAAGCATTTTATAAAAAATAAATTCCTTTGAAGCCTTTTTTGTATTTCCAAACAAGTGAATGCAGCTAAATTTTGTCAGAAACATGTCCCCGGTGTTCACAAGAATTAGAGTCAAAATGATCTCTTTAAAGAATGCCTTCAGTAAACAATGACTGATTTCAGTGTTTTCAACTATTTTCTTGATACTCTTGTTTTCAGGCTGATGATATCCGAGCCCTGCTGATTGACGCAATGCCACCAGAGGCCTTGCCGACTTGCTTTAAACCTCAAGCTACTGTAGTTAGTGCTTCTATCATTTCACCAGCATCAACCCCATCCTGCCTGTCTGCTGCCAGCAGTATAGATAACCTTGCCGGACCTCTGGCAGAAATTGCCGTGGGAGGGGCATCCAATGCTGGGGATGGAGCAGCAGGAACTGAGAGGAAAGAAGGAGAAGGTAACTTTACTAAGTGAAGATAATGAGAGTGTAATAATCGACACAGTAACTGGAAAATAGTCCATTAATACATTTTGGAGCTAAATGTTTCAGTAAGCAGTTCATGGGGTTGCTCTCTGAGTACTTCAGTCTCTCATATTATCCTTCAAGGTGTGTTTGGTCATATCCTTTAAGGCATAGTCCAAGCGTAAAACATGCAGTATATTAAAGAGTCACATATTCAAGAATTAGCTGGAAACAAAGCAAATTGCTATTCTTTCTTTGCTTTTGTTAGCAATCAATTCCTGGTTTTGAATTTTAACATAATGAAAGGCATAGAGGTCCTCTTATCTGGATAAGAAACTTAATTTAGTGTAAGGTATATCAGGAACTGTAGCCGAACACCTAAAATGTTTATGGCGATCTTTGCTTAGAGGAGCAATACATCTGTTTGTGCCTGCCTGGGATTATATTGATGGAAGAACAGGAGACACTGTATATACAAAAAGCTCTTATAAAAGAAGTATCCCCTTACTTTTCCACAAGTAACCACCTGGCTTTGTCTTGCTAATGCATAGAAAAGCATTTGAATCAAAGCTGTATACAGTATGATTGAAATCCAGATTGTGCAGAACAAAAACTACACAGAAGAAATACATCTTTTTGTCTGAATCCCATCCTTTATTTATGTAAATTTTTTTTTCAATTTTTAGTAGCATTTTAGTAGCAAGATAGCATTATATTTGCTGATTTGTCATTTAAATTTGAAGTCAGGTAAATATTTGCTTTCTTAGACTTTAATGTGGGATGAGATTGGTATTTATGAGGTCCTACAGCAGGCCTGTTGCACAATCAAAACCACTTAACCACTACATCGCACCTCCCTGGCGTTCTTATCATTTAACATGGCTTATTTAAATTGTAGTGTGTGCTGGCGCATGCTGAGTGCAATTTCCGTGATCACCATTCAGGTTTAGGTTGGCATGCCATCTGAACTGGAATGGCATGGCATGTTGGAGGGAGAAGCAGCCCTTCAACAGCCCTCCAGCCAGGCAGTGATTATGGAAATTGTGCCTCCCACTCACTGTAATTTAAATAAATCATACCATTTTAGTTTAATCAGGCAAGCCAAGACTGATAGTTACTGACTGAAATTGAATTTTGATTGTTTATTTAGCTTATACTGGATGCCTCCTGTGAACAGTTCAGTGATTTGTGTTTGTTATTGTAGTTGTCGGTCTGGACATGAACATCAGCCAGTTTCTGAAAAGCTTGGGTCTGGAACATCTTCGGGATATCTTTGAAACAGAACAGGTAGGAGTGGAAAATCTTGGAGATATCTTTGAAGCAGGACAGCTAAAGTATTGTCCACTTCGACTCACTGTTGCAGTTGTATATGTATTTAAATCTAATGTAATGTAATTTTATTTTATTAGATTATGTATCTATATTAATCTTTGCTATTGTTTTATAATCTATTTTAATGTTTGAAGTTAGCTGCCTAGAGATGCCATGGGTAAAACAGGCAGCATATACATGTTTTAAATGAATAATTAAATAAACAAAAAATATTTATTTATCTATCACATTTGTATGTCGCCCCATAGCCAGAGGCTTTCTGGGCAGCTCACAGTGCAATATAAAAATACAAATAACAATAAATAACAATAACAGCCAAAACCATAAAACATAATAGGATTAAAATACAATATACGACAACAGAAATATAACAGGAGGAAATATAAACACAATATAACCAATAAAACAATAAACCAGCAGCAAACCAATAGTCGATTCTAAAACCAGTATTCATTGGTGGGGCTTTGAAGAACCATGCAGCTGCATAGCTCCCTGTGCCAAGGGGTCCTCAGTCACTGGCTTCTCAAGCAGCGAGTTCACATAGCATGTGACAACTTACTTTCCAGACTGAGACAGCATTCAAAAGTAGATGGAAATGTTGGGGTCTGCTTTCCCAGAAAAAACTAAGAGCAGCTAGATTAGTAGGTATCTGGATTCCAGCCATAGTTTGGATACGGACAGACACTGAGTGGATTTCTGTTTGAGCTGGAGGGTGAAGTAGAATGGTGGATATTCACCAATTTCTCCATCCCTCTGCTGCCCCTGGTGGCCCCTGAAAAAAGGCAGCCCTGCCCACTTTTTCTAGAGGAGAGACCTTCCATCTGCAGCAGAAAAAGGCAGGATTGAAATAAACATATTTTGCTAATATTACTGGAGTTTAAGCACTTTTAAGTGTTTCAGAATATTATATAGCAGGAACAATGATCTGCTCTATTTTTTTTAAATCATCTCTGTTACTCTGCCACAGTGAAACTTACCTAACTTAGTCCTGGTTTAAAACCAAAGAAGGAATAATTCTTTGAAACTATAGGATATTTAATTTAAATGTTTAGTTTTTCTTCTGTCACAGAGAGCTATAACTAGAATTTTAAGAACTAATCTGGTTTGCCAAATTGTTATGCCAGGTAATCTTAGGGAGCAATATACCTCAAAAGAAGGCACTTGCACTCCAGATTGCATCAAAAAGTTTTGGGATCTGTTGCTGGGGTTTACTGCGCATGACCAGAGAGAACTAGCCCTGTTTTTGCATTCACACAGACACACACAACACTACGAAATGAAAGTTTATCCAGCAGAAACTATAAAGCAAGCACAAGCTTTTAAGCTGATGTTGTCTAAGCAACAATTACTCTTGTTGTATCGCAATCTTACTCTATATTATTGAAAAGATGAAGAGCTGTCTGCCTAACAACGAGAGAAGCTGACAGACAGACAGAGGGTCCATTACCTGTCCAGCAGAGTAGATTCTCGACAGCAGTCCTGTGTGGGCAGGAAGGGGCAAAGGTTTCCACAGCGTGGTGAGGGGAGGCAGGCCTGTGATCAGAACTGGCCTCCCTCTTTCCACTATGTTCAGAGTGTGTCTGAACCCCTTAGTGTCTGACTATATTTCTCTCTGTACCCATGTTTCCCATGTTTATGGGAACAGTATGTTTCCGAGAGTTATGCTAATTGTTGAAAGGTGCTTGATTGCCTCTTAATGATCTTAACTATGGTTTCTCTGGGTAAAAGTTGAGTTCTTTGTTTGTGTCTGCTAGCCACTATTGATGAGGCAATTTCCAGGAGCCTCAGGACAATGGGTCATCCTCCTTGGAGGGTTGTATTGCCTAATCTCCTTAAGGGGGAAATGCCTGACCCTTTCTTAGCAGTTTTCTTGGCATTCCAGCATTCATTCTTACCTCACACTGGCTAGCCCAGGTTACTAGGTCCTACTTCCTGAACTGAGGCCTATCCAACATGACCCATGGCCTGAAAGCCCATTCTGGCCAGAGGGTGTATTGTTATGGTGTTAATACTGATATACATGTGTTACATGTTCTACTGTCCAGAATTTTTTACTAAGCTAGAGATAAGAAATGCAGTTGAGAGCCAAACTCCAGCAGGTACCAAGATGGTATATCTATAAGTTTTCAATCTTATCACCCCAAATATCAATTCAATCAGAATTTGACATGACTGCTGACCTGCTGCGCTGGTTGATCAAAAGGTCGACAGTTCGAATCTGCATGATGGGGTGAGCTCCCATGCTTTATCCCAGCTCCTGCCAGCCTTGGAGTTTGAAAGCATATAAATGCAAGTAGATTAATAGGTACCACTTCGGTGGGAAGGTAACAGTGTTCTGTGCACTTCGGTGTTTAGTCTTGCTGGTCACATGACCATGGAAACTATATGCAGACAAGCGCTGGCTCCCTTGGCTAGGAAACGGAGAGGAGCACCACCCCCAAGAGTCAGGCATGATTGGACTTTAATGTCATGGGGAAACCTTTACCTTTACCTTTATGATCACAGAAAGCTGTTGTACATAGATACGTTCCTTCTTCACCAGAATGATCTGTTAAATTAGCTATAGAAACATCCCTGCCAGCTTGAAATCTCATAATTCAGGTAGAAAGTGGTAGGTTGTATTAATAAATAAGTCTAAATGTGTTTGGAAGAAATTGTCCAAATTAAGAAAACAAGCCACTTATTTGGTGGAATTTAGATTTTTTCATAGTTGGAAATACCACTCTGTGTACTAAAACAGTCTCTTGTTGCAACTTAAAAACTAACAAATGCAGCAACTTTCATGAGCAGCATCCCACAGAACAGTGGAGACATCTGCTTAGCAGAGCATCAGGAGTGTTCTTGGATGTCTGTTTATGTTTCTGCCCAGCATCTTCCCATTTTCATGTAATCTGTGGTTTACCTTGGCTCACTTTTCTGAACGTTTGACCCCACACATCTTCAGAAAATGAGCTAGATCAAGTAAAAGAGTGCTCAACTTGCTAAACTAAAATAACAATCTAAATATTGTCTGTGTTAAATCCCTCTGCTTTGTTCTGTAATATCTGGTATTGAAATGTTGAAGCAGCACAGGAACTAGAGATCAAATTGCCAACATACGCTGGATCATGGAGAAAGCTAGGGAGTTCCAGAAAAACATCTACTTCTGCTTCACTGACTATGCTAAAGCCTTTGATTGTGTGGATCACAACAAACTGTGGCAAGTTCTTAAAGAGATGGAAGTACCAGACCATCTTATTTGTCTCTTGAGAAACTTATATGCTGGTCAAGAAGCAACTGTGAGAACTGGACATGGAACCACTGATTGGTTCAAAATTGAGAAAGGAGTTTGGCAAGGCTGTATACTGTCGCCCTGCCTATTTAACTTATATGCAGGGCACATCATGAGAAAGGTGGGGCTAGATGAATCACCTGTTGGAATTAAAATTGCCAGGAGAAATACCCACAACCTCAGATATGCAGATGATACCACTCTAATGGCAGAAAGTGAAGAGGGACTAAAGAGCCTCTTGATATGGGTGAAAGAGGAGAGCACAAAAGTTGGCTTGAAACTCAATATTAAGAAAACTAAGATCATGGCATCCAGTCCTATCACTTCCTGGCAAATAGATGGGGAAGAAATGGAGGAAGTGACAGATTTTATTTTCTTGGGCTCCAAGATCACCGCAGATGGTGACTGCAGCCAAGAAATTAAAAGACACTTGCTCCATGGGAGGAAAGCTATGGCAAACCTAGGCATCATACTAAAAAGCAGAGACATCACCCTGCCAACAAAAGTACGTATAGTCAAGGCTATGGTTTTCCCATTTGCAATGTATGGCTGTGAAAACTGGACCATAAGGAAGGCTGAGCACCAAAGAATTGAGAACTTTGAATTGTGCTGCTGGAGAAGACTCCTGGGAGTCCCTTGGACTGCAAGGAAATCAAACCAGTCAGTCCTAGAGGAGATCAACCTTGACTGCTCTTTAGAAGGCCAGATATTGAAGATGAAACTCAAATACTTTGGCCACCTAATGCAAAGGAAGGACTCTCTGGAGAAGAGCCTGATGCTTGGAACAATAGATGGCAAAAGAAGAAGGGGATGGCAGAGTGAGGTGGCTAGATGGAGTCACTGAAGCAGTCCGCGTGAATTTAAGTGGACTTCGGGGGATGGTGGAGGACAGGAAGGCCTGGAGGAATGTTGTCCATGGGGTCACAATGGCTCGGTCATGACTTGCAACTAGCAACAACAACCAGATTGTTTGAGAAATGTAGATTTGCTTCAGTGACACAGTTAATATTTATTTATTTATTATTCGATTTCTATCCCTCCCCCTTTAGTCAAAATAACTCTCACGACAGGTTACAGTGTAACTTCAACAGATGAAAACAGCACCTGTGCAGTCTGGAAATTACTAGGATGCTGCTATCTGTTTACACAGCATTTAAGCAAAATAGACAGGTTCCTGCCCCTTGAGTCCAAATGTTGATAGTGGGGGAGACAACGAAAACAGAAGGAAGGATAACAGAAAATAAATGCACCAAACTTTTAGAATAGAACAGTAGTTGAATTTGAAGGGGCCTGTAAGGCCATGGAGGCCAACGCCTGCTCCACTTCCTCATGTGGTCACCCATCCAGCTGCAGGCCCATGCACCTTTCCATCTTAGCAAAGGTGACTTGACATGCTAGCTCAAAGGTTGTTGACTAACTCACTTAAAGTATCTGTATGTAATCTTTCCAGAACTCAAGGTGACTAATGTGTTGTGTCTGTGCTATTCAGATTACCTTGGATGTACTGGCAGACATGGGGCATGAAGAGCTGAAAGAAATTGGCATTAATGCCTATGGGCATCGTCATAAGTTAATAAAAGGTGTAGAGAGACTTCTAGGTGGGCAGCAAGGTGAGTCTGTTAACACATCCTGCATTGAAAATCAATCTTATTTTCATGTGCATGGTGAGAGCTGCCTCTTTATATGTTAAGAGGAAGTGCCTCAGGGATTCTGTGGCTTTGATGAAGCATTAGCAGTTGTTGGATTTTAGAAAGTGTGCTTAGTTTAGTTAATTCTGATAGTATTCCTTACCATGGAACCTCAGGCTAGAGTACAGCAGTTTTTCCTGATGGTCTTGAAGGTTCTAAAGAAGAGCAAAAACATTAAAAACAGCATTTATTTACTAAAGTGGAACAAGAGTTTTATCTATACCCCTGGAAACATTTCCACTAATCTGCTCCCCACCTATATCCAAGATCTAACTAATACTTCTACCCCAGTATGAGAGCATCACATGCCACCTGTCTTTTTCAGATCCTTTCCAAATTTGGGGAGATTTTTCAATGCTATCAAACCTATGCTATGCAAAAAGCTGCCATTTCTGAGTCCCGTTCTCTTTAAATATTGATTTTCTTAGGGATTTTCTACACCAATTTTGGCTCTTATGCCAAAAAAAAAGCAAACAAACAAACAGAAGATCTTTAAATACAAATTAGTTGGTAGAATGTAAATTATGTTGCAGTTAAGATGTTTTTAAAAGTCTCTATTGATTTGATCTACTCCAGAATACCACAGTTATTTAGTAAGGACAACAACAGTAGTCCATCAGCAGATTTGGGATTTGTTCAGCTCTTTGGATTTGTTCATATATAGCTCTGATTTCTTAAATATTTCCCCTTTCCAGGCACCAATCCATATCTGACTTTTCACTGTGTCAGCCAAGGAACTATTCTTATAGACCTTGCTCCTGATGACAAAGAACATCAATCTGTGGAAGAAGAGGTAAAAAAAATGATAACAAGGCACTTCAGACTGACTCATACAAAATTTCTGGAGCAGAGAAAGCCAAAATCCACTTTGATTACAGATTTCTAGTTACACTAGCTAGTAATCTAGTTTATGAATTGCCAAAATCTTCTTAGAATGATTCTACTGTGTCTTTGTTGAAACATGGGTCATGTTGCTATTTCTTAAGAGCGAGCAAGCACTCCAGCACACCAAGCCAAGCTGCACACAAGATGGGATGTTGTAGGGTTGGGATTTGTTTCCCTGAGGCAGCCTTGGATTAGAGGAAAGTCCCACTAATGCAGAGAACCATGTCTGTACTTGGAAATACAGTTTGCATTCTCATAAGAGAAATGCAAAGTATCCTAGGTTTAGGTTTATCCCTGAATTGGAAATTTAAACTAGACTTTAAAGGTACTATGGCTTAGAGTTTTATCATCCCAAACTAGTACGATTGATGGCTATTATTTTTGTTTTTAATACACCTGAAAAGTGTTTTGAAACAATTTTAGGGTGAATAAATAGAAAAAGGGTTAAACATCTCCAGTAAACATACCTTGGTGTATCCCTTTTAGAAAATGACACTGGGCAATCCTTATATGCATTTATTTACATATAGGGCATGTTTGCACATTGCATCCACCCACCATAGCAAGCAACAGACCACTGGGTTCACTGCGAGTTGTTGCCCCCATCCCTTCCACTCCTTTCCCTCCAATACGCCAGCAGGTATGTCTGGACAACACAGTGCAACCAACTCGTCTCCCCTCCCTGCTGTGGTCATGAGCCATTTTTAGCTCTCTGCTGCTTTTTGACCCTGCACCTTTTGTTTTCGTTCTGTTTTTGGTGATCACTAAAGCTCACTTAACAGCTGGCTTTTATGATCACCACTTTGACAGCCCCTTTAAAGTGCCTAACTGGCACATTGGAGGGGCTGTTTGTGGTTGTATGTTGTATATATTTAACTTTGTGGGATCCCTACACATGCACAGAAATATGCACACTTCAGAGGTATTTTGGGGTCTTTCACAATGCACAGGGTGGCACTTACAACGATCAGAACCTGGGCATTCTCACCTGGGCTGTTAGGTCCTGGATGTGGGCAGCAAGTGTCTACACTGGAACACCACAACTAGGCATGATAGAGATGTTGGCATTGGTGCAGTAGGGTTAGAGGCAAAAGTGAATTCAGAAACAAGGGACATACATCCAGTGAAGCATGGCAGATCCAGAGGGTGAGACAGAGCCCAGGAGCAGGTGAGGTTAGATAGCAACAAGACATGGCAGAAGCAAAAGCAAGATCAGAAGGCAGGGAACACATACCTAGCAAGAGGTAGGACCAGAGGCAAAAACGTTTGCAGGATGAAATGTGCTGCTTGTGACTGGGGGAGTCATGTCACGACATCCGATACTGACATGGGCAATGCCCCAGGAGTTCTCTGCCAGTGGGCACCAGCCCTGTAAATTGATCTGGGACAGCTCCCGATAACCCTTTTCCCCCTTTTGGTTTGATTTGACAGTCATCAAAAGGTACGCTATCAAGTCAAATGAAAGGTGTGAATGATCTTGCAAAAAAGGGGGTGGAGGGATTCACACCCCCTTCATAGCAAGATTCTCTTTTTCCTTTTTCCCTTTTCTTAAAACGAAGGATCTACCCAAGGGTGCTGACACTTTTCCACATGTTGCCTAGTTTCTAGGTGCTCAAAAACATGGAACAGCGCAAACCACCTCCTTTAAAAGGAAACATTTCCACAGGGTTTCCAGTGGTTTTGTCATGAGGGCATACATTCATGCCTGCCTCTACTCCCAAATAATAATGCATGTAATATTTTTGAAGTTTCACATTCTGGAAACCTTGCTTTATAACTTGCACCTGTTTTACAGATGCAGAGCACCATAAGGGAACACAGAGATGGTGGCAATGCTGGAGGGATCTTCAACAGGTATAATGTCATCCGGGTAAGTTAACTGCAAGGTTTTCTAAGTCTTGCTACAAGACAATTGCCAATTTTGCCGATGAACTAATCGCTGCCTGGGAAGGCAAAGAGGTGATTCTAGGAGCAAGTAATGAACTGGGAATGCTGGCTTCAGTGAAGTTGGAGTCAAAAGCTGTGGTTTGAAGCTGTTTGTTGTTCATATGATTCTGGTCTGTTTGAGAGACAAGTCATAATTCCGACATTACAGTGATCAGCACAGATGGTGGACCTGTGGCTTGATTGGCTAGTGCCATTTGCAGGAGGAGCTGGGTAGGAGCAACTGGGAAGTGTCCAGGGGCACACAGATCCCTGGTTTATTGCTGCATAATGCAGTTTAGGCTTGTTGTCAGGGTAATTGATGGCAAGGGGTGCAAGGGGGATATGAGCAGGTAGGTTAATGTAGCCACTTAATCTCATAAGTAGCATACTTCTAGTTCAAGAGTTTCGTGAGTAAGAAGCATCCTATGCTGCTTCTGACCTATTTCACTTGTGATTTGTGGTGCTTTGCAGTTGGAAGAAATTGAATGGTACCCATCCCCCAGATCAAAAAAAGCACTTGTCACACCTGCCTTTACTGGCCTTGGAAGGACAGAAAACTGTAGGAACACACCAGCAGCACTCCCTGCTTTTCGTCTTTGGAAAGAGTACAACAACAGCCTTTCAGATTCAGCAGAGATTCTTGCCATGTGTGTCTTTGCCCAAGGAGTAAATATGTTTTGGTCTTGGTGAATAGGCTAGTGGATTGGTTTCATCTCTGAAATACTTTCATATAGCACTTAATCTGCTAGCATTTCTCTTTTGGCGCTACCATGAGCAAATAGATGGCTTAAAAATAAGGGTTTAGGAAAGGATGAACCTTTTGCAGTGGTGCGGTATTCTTTGTTTTGGATCTGAAGTCTCATAAGCAGCCTTCTGTTGGCGCAATGAGACTTCCCACCCTTTCCTCCCTGCTGTGTATGCTCCAGGTGTCCCCTGTCTTCTGGAGCAGATTTGGAGGGCTGCAGGGGGGCAGGGAATCCATTCCACAAGTGGTTTCCATTCTGCTAGTGGATGACCAGCGTGGATCCAACCTTGTATGTGTTTTTATAGACACGCTAAGTGCTTAAATTCATTGCTTTCACAATTCACAGATTAGAACTAGCTACTTCTGGCTAGCTACTTCTGGCTACTTCATGAGTAGCCACTTGAGATATGTCAACTCTTTGTAAGGTACATTTTGGAGGTTTAGCAACAAGAGTCAAAGCTGCCAAAAGAAAGAAGAGCTAAGAGTAAGCATTGCTTTTGCTGTGCCTGTTGTATTTTGGAAAGCTTATGTATATTTTTCTTGCAATTAAACATTGCGCATTTTAAAAACATGGCTTACATGAAAACATTCCCTTAGGAGTTTACTGTTTCTCTGTTTCAATTAGTGCTTCCTTTTATAGATTCAAAAGGTTGTAAATAAGAAGCTGAGAGAGAGATTCTGCCATAGACAGAAGGAAGTCTCGGAAGAAAACCATAACCATCATAATGAACGCATGCTCTTTCATGGTAAATAGTTACTTCCTCTAAATGTGGAGCTAGAATGTCACACACATTTTAAAAATAAGCATAAATTGCATTTTTGCTCATTTACTTCCCTGCTTCTTGAGATACACGCAGAGAGGAAAACCGTGTTGAATTATCACTGTGGCATTTGCCTGGGTGTTTTTATCCCAGCTCCCCCTCTGTGCAGGACCTTCCATGCTGTTCTAAAAGGCTCCAGAATCCTCTAGAGAAGTGGAGGAGGGGGAGGAAGGAGATACAGTTGGCAGAAGCAGTGGAAAACCTTCTATGCATTCATGTTTGGATGCATCCCTATGCTTACATATTTTTCTGGGAATAATGGTTGTCTCTCTGCCCACCCTGGTGTCATTTGAAGAGGAAAAAATAGAATGTCAGGGAAGGTCTGCCCTTGGAGCTCCAAGGAAAGGATTTGTCCACCCCTGAGCAGGGGACAAAGAGAGTTGCAGAGAGTTGTCTAGCTAATGTTACCCAGTGTGGCCATAACATAAGTGAACATCTTCACAGATGTTGAAAGGGATGAGGAGTGCATGTGCCCCTGGAGTTTTCATGTGCATCTGGCAGTCCCCGTCACAGAAGGGATTGGTGGAATATTAGTCCCAGCCGTGCAGCCTGAACAAGCCCTAACACTTATACAGCAACTGTATAAGTGAGGAAAGAGCAGAAAAGGCACCCCCTCCTCTTCTGTAAGACACTTTCCATAGGGACAAGTTCAAGCTCTTTCCATCACTGGCATCTTGTCAGTGCCACATACAAATTCTGACTATATGTGGGAGTGTGGCCTATTCCTTGGGAAATGCTTACAAAGCTAGCCTGCTCCGCCTTTCTGTATGTTCAGCCAAATTTGGGGTGGGGAATATGACTTTTCCTTCAAGTATGTGGAAATCCTAAGCAAGTGTTCTTGAGACCCTGTTAAATCATCACAACTTGCTCTTACTTAGATTTGTTTTGCTCTTATGTGACTGAATTTGGATTAATTAATCCATATACAAATATCCAGTTGCGGGGAGGGGGAGTGTGTTTATATCACAGTCAAAAGTGAAGTGCTTTATATTCTGTTCTAGGGTCTCCTTTTATTAATGCTATTATTCACAAAGGATTTGATGAAAGGCATGCATACATTGGAGGGATGTTTGGAGCTGGCATTTACTTTGCGGAAAACTCTTCTAAAAGTAACCAGTATGTATATGGAATTGGTGGAGGCACAGGCTGCCCCACACACAAAGACAGGTCCTGCTACATCTGCCACAGGTGGGTTCCCGGTGAGCTCAGTTACCTTAGCGACCAGGCATGTGTTTCCTTTTTTAAAGGCTGAGGGTTCAGGGGAAATGCAGCACACTTGGTGAGCTGAAGCAATGTCAGTGCCAGAATGTTTCTGCAATGTTAGAACTGTGGAGTCACAGAAGAGTGCCATCCGCAAGCAGCTTCTGACTCCACACTGGTGGATTCTTCTGACTGAGCAGAGCCATTGAGGACAAGCCTTCAGCGTCACTGCTCTTTCACCATGCCCGCTGCCCTTCGTTACCCCTTTGCAAAAGCTGCAACACAAGGAGCCCGTTCTTGATGGAAGGGCTTGTTTTTAATAAGATCTATTCTTTAGTCATGCATGCTTTTACAGGCCAACAGCCTTGTTTCTCCCTCTCTGGAACAATCATTGATCTTGTCACAGGGAAAACCTGAATTCACTCCCTGCAAGAACAAATTAAGTAAATTAACCCAGCCCAGTGCAGGAGCTGGAAGAATATTTGTTTATTTGTCCTATCAAATAATGATTGACTTAAAAAAAAAAAAAACTCTTGGGGATTCAACATGAACAGGTCACAGAAGTTTCAGATCATTGTTTATCCTGCATTCTTAATATATTCTGTAAGCAGATTACTTTGTTCCTTTTGGTTTTTCTCCCACCTTCCTCTAGACAAATGCTTTTTTGTCGCGTGACATTGGGGAAATCCTTCTTGCAGTTCAGCACCATGAAAATGGCGCATGCCCCACCTGGGCATCACTCTGTAATTGGCAGGCCAAGCGTAAATGGACTTGCATATGCCGAGTATGTCATCTATAGAGGGGAACAGGTATGTAGAATACAAAACTATTATATATCCTGTGCTGTTGATAGGTATAGATCTGTTTGCCAGTTAACTGTATGAATAGATTGGTGTACACTGCCTGTGCACCACCAGTGTGACACTAGTATTTCCACAGCAAACTTGTGTATTTTTCTTTTATTGTTTGGGCTAGGATGTATATGGACATTGAAACACAGGTGTTTAACTTCCATGCTTTACAAAGCAGGCATGTTTCTTACATGTTTTCAGCACATCTGCGCAGAATGTGAAGCTGCTCCGGTTCTGACTCCCTAGCTTGAGGAGTAATGCTGTTATGCGTAAGCCTTAACACTGCCTGGTACCCAAAAGCTTCTTAAAAGATTTTTTTAAAATGTGCAATGAAAAGGGCTTTTGTCTGCACTGGAACATTTGACTGTGGTAAAAGTAAATACTTCTCAGGTCCTTGGGCTATGGGGTGGCATCTTAAATAAATACTTCCGATGGAGCCAAACCCATTCACTGGTGAACAGGATCACATGTGTTTTTTTATTCTGCATACCACTTAGTATCCTTTGAGTTCTTGCCTGCTCAGCATGTGAAAGGGCTTCATCCTCCCCACTAGGTCCAGACAGCAGCCTCAGTGCCTGGATTGGCTCCTCCTCCTGACTCAAAACACAAGGTCCAATTTCTGAACCCTGAGGCTGGAAGTCAGTAAGCTTCTTTGCAGGCATCTCCATGATGGCGATGCACGTGGGAACACACAGGCTTCAGGACTACAGCAAGGGGAAACGTTTCTTTAAAACGCTTTTTTCATGGTTGAGCAACGTTCCCGAGGGCCACACATGCACTCCAGTCCCTCCCCCTCTCCCTCCTTCCATCTCAGCATCAAGCGATGAGGTGCTACAATCGTCCCCTCCACGTGAGCTGAGATCACCCTTCTCTCCCGCCGGGGATCCCTGGCCAGCCAGCTGGGCTGGGGCAAGGAGTGCTACAGGCACTGTGCTCCTGACAGCAGCCTGACTCTGCTTGGAAGAGAGCAGGTGTGGGGGCCTCTCCTCATGTGCCCTGTTCTCCAGCATTTCCCTCAGTTGCACTGGGCAGTGGGACATGAAAGAGGAGCATCATCCCCATATACACCCTTCCCTGGCACGAGTACGTTGGCCGCAGAGGCGCAGGGGGAGCTCAAGGGCATCGGGAAACATCTCCAAGGCTGCAGGTTGCACATCCCCACCTCAGTTGGAAGGAGTAATTCTTGATTTTTAGAAGATGGGCAAATGGTAGTGGGGTGATTCTCAGCAGGGAAGTGGTACAGGAGAAAAAGATGTGCAGACTATTTCCCCTTCATGTCACAGTCCTATGCCAGTCACAGCTACTTTGAGTAAAGAGAAAGAAGCAGCTGTACCCAAGCATGGATTCAAAAATCTAACTGGTGTCTCGTCTAATTTGGTTTAAATAAAGTTAAAGACAAGATTAAGACAATTACAGGCGTGAGAAACTAAGCAGCCCCGTTCTTTCCGTTCTTGTGCGCTCTTGTTCAGACATCAGTTTTTCCTGTGAGGCCTTCAAAAGGAAGCAGGGTGCACCCAAGCCTGCCGGCCTCTGTCACTCTTCCAGCCCACCTGCCTGCCTCTCACTGCAGTGGGGCAGCTGTCTCAGCAGGTTGCAAGGGGCATGGGAGTGCAAAAGGATTTTGGAGATAGCCAGGGGGAGGGTTGTGGAAACACCAGAGTCCAAAAATCCTGCTAAGCCCTGTAAGCACTTGGCAGCTTGGCAATAATTGGACATCAAGGCCAGAAAGCCCATTTCAGTCTAGCCGTTTACCCTGTTCCCGTGAACACTGGGGGACAAGCGCCATTCTAGGACTAAAGAAACTGAAGTGCATTCCTAATCATGACATATTTCAGGATGGAGACAGTTCTGTATCTCAAAGATTTCCTGATTTCTCTAGATCTGCCTGAACCCTCTATGTACTTACCATCCTAACCCATGTACAGCACTTAAGCGAGTGGTCAAACAGCGGGAAGCATTATCTCAGTGAAGCAATGCCCTTCAGGCTCTTCCCTAGGAGGGATCATCCTCCCAAAGCTCCAGTTTTCCAACCAATTAGCAGTCCAGGGGCTCAGTTGCCGGTTATGAAAGATTCAGTCCTAGAGTGGCTAGCCTGGGAGTAGAGGCTACCTGTTTGACTCCTTAAAATAAGGAGGAAACCCGAGTAGTAGGTGTGGCTACACCCCTTCACACACTGATACTCCTCATGCACCCCACCCCACACACACAACCCACTTGCCCCTCCTTAGCTGATCCCTGCAGATAAGCTGAGGGCAGCATTCATCTCCAGCACAGCACAGTGGGATGAAAATCCCTGCTGAGTGCTAGAAAAGCTCCTGTTTTCAATCAGACGCTGATGGGAGATGAAACCTTTTCTCTGCCTGTGGACAGGGAGTGGAGTTTGAGGAAGAATACTGTGTGCTAGATGGGAAACTGTGTGTGTCAGAGGTTCCCTCTGCCTGCCCAAAAGAATAAGAACATTTTGTTAAAGGAAGAACATGGAGAGTATGAGCATGCCTTTTGGAGGACATGCCATTTAGCTTTCTGTGGTCCTTGAAAGTCACAGTGTCTATTTGGGAAATGAACTGGGGGACCTGCCTTCAAGTCCCTGTGCAGCAGTTTGGTTTCTCTGGGTGGCCTTGGAGAAATCTTTTCCAGCTGAACCTACCTCACAAGGCTGTTGCTAGGCTAAAACTGCATATCGCCCACATACTACCATTCTGTGCTCCTTGAGTATATAAATGTGTTAAGTCCCAGCATATTTTTTGCATGTGTCAAAATAGTGCCCACTTTTGCTGGTTCTGAAGCACTGGATAGACAATTCTGTGAAAAGGATTCTGAACCATCTGTGGGGGGGGGCAGTGGGGGGGATGCTTGTTGCCCTGGCCAGGGGCAGAAGGTTTTTTAAAAAAACTGATTTGCAGAGAGTGATACACCAACTCCAGGTTTAACTAAGAAGGAGATTATTTATTATTACAATAATATCCAAACAGCTAGACTTCCAAAACTTTTAGCAGCAAGCTTCTTACACTGCGCAGTGAGGGCTCCTGCCAGGCAGGACTCCAATCAGATGGGTTCAAATAGAAACAGCGGAGTCCCACTTGAAAACACACTGAATCAAAGAACAAAGAAAGTGGCTAGCTTTTATAGATTACAAACTTATAGCATTGTAACGCATGCATACAGCATTCTTCTTAATTAAAATATATGGTTACAAGAGCAATATTGTTTAGATGGGTGCTAAGAGATAAGCAAGTATAGTGAGCTGGCAAGGAGGATTCCTGCCTGGATGACCAAGGTTTCTCCTCTGCCTGAACTTCAAAGCGTAGGCTCCTTACTGCCTCTTGCTTACAAGAATGAAGCCTGATAAGGAATGCTCAATGGCAGCCCACATGGTCCTTGTGCCATCCCAGCATCAGGAAAGGAAAACTCCCTAGTTTCACGAAAGCAGACTGTCTTGGTCAGAGCAATGGTAACTAAACCCCTGTTATAAACAGTTAGACTTTACTGCCAAGTGAAGCAAGCAGCTTAAAGGACTAGAGACCCAGGCCTGGCTTTTTGGGGCTCAGACCTGTTACAGTGCTTTGGAGAACTATCCTCTAAAATAAATTCCATTCTTTTGCCACCTCTTTACTAGCACTTTTTCCCCAGACCTTGCTCAGATTGAATTTTCCCTCTCGGGCAATAATCCAGAAGAGATGGGGGGCCGGCCTTGCTCCACGCACTGCTCCTCAGGCCACTTGCAACAGGCTCCTGCTGTCATTCTGCAGCGGGAAAAACAGAGCAGCTAATGCAGGAGTTGACTGCATTGTGGAACATGGAAACGAACCTGTTCTGTGTATATGATGCAGTGTTAGGGGTGGTGCTTGATGGTGCCTATCTGCACAAGACCATATTGATGCAGTATACTGGAAAATAACTAAAGACTCAGTGCATCATTATTTTTGGGAGGGATGGGGGAGAAAGAGAAAGAAGTAATGTGACTGTGGGCTGAAATGCATTTTCTTATTTTTGAAGTGGCTCAGTATAATATGCAATAACCTTACATGACATAATTCTCTTTCATTGGGAATCATCTGCTTATTTTTAGGCCTATCCTGAGTATCTGATTACATACCAAATTGTAAAGCCAGAAACTCCTTCACAGACTGCAACGGCTGCAGAGCAGAAGACCTAGTAAATACCGGTTCAGTGACGCAATTTACACAACTTACATAACTTATGGACTGTATGGATGACATTAGTTTCAAAACATCAACATTATATGAAATTCTGGAACTAAGCTCTATGTGTTTTATAAAGCCTTGCTCTATAAACAAATATGAGTAATTGATAAGTACTCAATTGCTACTGTTCCTTTTGAGGAAATGTTTACAAAGGTTTGCCTTTTAACAACATATCTCAGGCTCATTTTCCCTGCAGCTGCCATGTGTGTGGTGATATCATTGCTTCCATCTGGGTGTTTGGGAACATTATTTAACAAGCAGGGCTATGCCATGACCATATTTTTTCAAAGAATTTCTGATGCCACTGTTCCAGTAACGTGATACACATAACTTGTATTGAACCCCTGCCGCCTTCTCAACATTCAAAGTCGGTTTTATTTTTATTTCGTATGACAAAAAATGAGCCAGGCCCTTCTTGAGGATATTTTTTGCACAAAGTCAAGTTGACTAAAACCAATTAACAATGCAATAGGAATTTCTTGTCCAAGAAGTTGTTAGAGAGCTAGTTCTGTGGTCTGGGATTCTTTTTGCACTTTTATGGTAATTCCTTTTTTATGTTGCTAGAAACATAATTTTCGGGCAGAAACTCATCCTTGGAACTTGGTGAGTTTTTCTTTCTCTAAGTTCCTCCAAGTATCCCTGCAGCCACCTCATAAAAAGCTGTCTGTTCTTGAAACATGATCTGCTCTCTCCCAGCTAAAATTCCAATAGCTGTTGTTAACAGAGGAGGCTTAGTGAGAGCACTTACGGAAGGAAACAAAATATACATGCTTTGAAGGTGTCTGGTAAACTGCCTAAGGAATTTTGATAGGATGAGTATAAATAGGTAGATCTGCCAGAGGAACCTTCACTGAAGGGTCTGCTTGGGCCTATTTTCGTTTTTGGAAAGAGTGCAGAAGCAGGGCTTCCAGTTCAGACAATCCCCCACCATTCCCCTTTCCTTAGTCCACCTGCCCAGGATCACAGGATCAATGAGCGAGTAAATGGAAGCCATTACGGTTGCTTGGAGCCAATGTCTCCTGCTTCCTGGTTTGCTTCTCCCCGTGATGATGAGGAGTAGCAAGGGAGGGGAGGGAGTGAGACAGGCACCTGCTCCAGGTCTCTCATTAGGTACAATCCCAGAGAAAACAGTGAATCTGTTAGGACATGTTGTCTATTAAGCTCACTTTGGGCTCTTGCACTCGAACAGGAAGAATTACTTATCTGTGTAAGGATTCAGCCACATGCTGTCCTGGCAGGAGTATACTAACATGGCATGCAAATCATCTTTTCTCCAATGAAATTGTTTTTTAAAAACCTATAGTCCAGTATATTTGCATTCATCTTATCCGAGAAGGCTACTAGTTAGCTTCTCTTTATTAAACTTGTCCCCTTTAATTTTGTTTGATGATCTCCTTAATGATCATCATTATCAGAGGTTAACACAAAAACTATTTTTTCCAAGAAAGGCAACTTTTTTACAATGCAATAACTTTACAAAAAAGGAAGAAGTTGAACATTAAATAGTAATAGAAGTTTATAAATAGGATATGTAACAGAGAGATTGCAATGTTTTTAGAACTATAACCTTGCAAAATCTTTAGTCAGAGGTCAATAGCCAAAGAAGGTTGGATTGCTCAAGTTACAGTTCTTCCATTAATGCTTTTTATTCCTTGAGAATAAAAATAGCAGACTGTTGCAATTGTTTTATGAAATATACTGGCATCTGCTTGGAAATGGGGGCAAAAGTCTTTATCTGCTGAAACAGCAAGCACAAAAACAAAGCCCAAAGAAGTTTCTGGAAAAATGTCTTTGCCAAGAATAATCATGTAGATTTCAACGTTTGTCAAATGCAGTTCTTGATTCAGGCTGGCTAAATGCCTTCTAGTGTTAGAGAGACCAGATGAAGCAAGTTTTGACAGCTGTGAACATTTCCTTTTTGCTTCAGTTGTCAAAGCCACTTGGTTTTGTTGGGTTATGATGTGGAGATAAAGCTGATCAGGATAACCTTTTCTTTCAATTTATGTCAAAGTTGGGAAGGTATGTTGGCCCTTCACTGTTAGAATTCATATGAACACTCATATGAATGTTGTTAAGCACAGCTGGTGGGTTGTGCCAACTGCAGTAGAATTGCAAATTAATGTGAAAGTCTACTTTCTGCCAACTTCATGTAGACGTTAAGTGGAACCCAGCTGTTTTCATAGTTTAGCCAAGTGGTTAACATGAATGTAGAAATTCAGTGTTTCTTTCTCCAAGGAAGGGGTGAGAATGCTCGATTCTGTGGCTGTCTGTTTCCTCCAATGTGCTAGTTGAGCTAATGAATGTTTTAGATTTCATCTAGAGCCCTAAACTCCCAGAATCTCCAACTTGTAGCCCTAATCTTTTAAACTGCCCGTGTTTGTAACTGATGTTTTGTGCAGAGTAAAAGGTGCTGTGCGAGGAATTCCATTTGCAGTGGCTTTTGTCTGATAGTAATGTGTTTCTCTTAATCCTTTTCCTGGTCATATCCTGAAAAATGTGCATGCATGTTTGCTCAAGCCTTCAGAAATCCCAAAGCCAAACTTGGGTAATCTTAGAAGACTAAAATGTACATCTAGTATTCACTGCCTTTCAAACTAAAGTAACAGCTACCTTTCTCTGAAATAGGACTGGTTTTTCTGAGAAGAGCTCATACACATGATTCCTAAGCACAGGTATTTGGCATTAGTTCCCATAATTATTAATTTGGGGGAGCATCTCGTTTATGCTCTATGGAAGGAACCTGGGAAGTGCCTTTTCTGTGAAGTCAGAGTACCACAGGGGTTATGCTGTTTAGATAAACACAGTATTCTGTTTGTCTCCCAGTAAAAACAATCAGTTTTATCCCCCGCAGAGAAAGATTGGATAGTAAAGGATATGTCACAAATGTGGTACAGTCCGTTTACTCATTAGCTTTGTCCCACACCAGGTGTGAGGCACATGAGGGACACGGTTTATGTCTTGGAGTTCATATTTTTCTCCAGAATGTAAAGTCCACTTGCCTCGAGTGTTGCTCGGCATCCCAGCTTTGCAAACATCATTGCATTACCTGGGGACGTGCTTCTTTGGGAACGTGGGCATATGGGCTGTTGTGCACAGTAGTCAGCAAACCCAGGGCTGCCACCAGCATGCATTCCTGCAGGGAACCATTCCCAGTCCCAGCTCCTTGGCAAGCATATCCCGATGCTGCACACACTGACAAGCAGTGGGTTGAGACTGTCTCCCTGCACACACTCAGGGTGACAAGAGCAAGCTCCTCTCTTCACCCGTTCATACCACACAGTAAGCAGAACGCCTGAAGAGGGCTTTTGTCCGCCAGGATACTGAATGCAAACCTGCTGCTGAGGAAATCCATGACACTGTTTCCAGTGCTGTGTAGTACGCGGGATACATTGCGTTCATTGTTTTAACACTGCATTCAATTATTACTGAAAATTATGAGAACAAACCCTCCATAATATTACATACTTGTGTGGCTGCTGGATAACTGTGGTTAAGAGGAACCAGATATGATTGAGTGACTGACACATACGACAGATGCAGTAAAAAGCAAACAGTCAGGCGGCTTTGTACCATTTGAACTCTCTGTCAGTCCACATTTACAGCAGCTCCTTCTGTGTCCATACACTGCTGCAGGACTTGTGTGTAGGACCCATATTGGTGACTGCAGCCGTGTCTGTGCTATTTTGTAGTACAAAGTGGCTGTCAGTTCCCTGTGCTGCCTCCCATAGTGGCCGTGTGGAGGCTGTTGCAAATGGAAAATTAAAGTGGTCATTGGCCGTTAACACATTTTATAATGTCCAGCTTGCAGCTGCAAACTTCTTGAGGTTGCTATTGATTATTAAAATGTCAGTATGAATAAAAGTTCCAGTGTTCCCCCCACATACACATCATCCAACTGTAATGGGTTTTCCCCCAGTACCTGTTCCTTAATCCCATCTAAATGGGTGTATAAGCCATGCATGCAAGAGAAGCTTGATTTGTAACTCTTGCTGGTGCCTCCAAATCAATGGCACAAGCCTTCGGCTGTTTGCAAAGGAATTGCCTTAAATTTGGTTTCATTATAGATAAAAATGGTCCCTCAGATTTGCAGCCAGAAGTGAGGCTCTGCGTATTTTGTGAACCTTCAGCAGCACTGGAAAAGTACAGAATGATATTCAATGCAGCCTTTAGCTTCCTGGAAATATCACCATCACAAAATGGCTAGCAAGTTCCTAGTTCTTATATTTGCAAGGATCTTCCTGTAAAATGTGCGAGCAATGAGCCTACAGAAATCTTAGAAATCAGTGGGCTTTTTGATTGAACTTGCCCTGGGCCAGAGTTTGGTTACTCTTCATAGCTCCTTGCCTCTCCTTGTGACTGGTGAAGCTAAAACAAGTTATGCAAAATTGTAGAATTAGGTTTGGTTAAGTAACAATTAGTACTTAAGAAAAGTGTAACAAGTTTTTATTTTTGGGAAGTAAGATAGTGCATTGTGCTTAGATGGCCTAATTTGGAGAAGGATGAAGAAGTTTGCTTGTTTGTTTGAGAGCAGAGTACACACCCATTTTTCATTCGTGCCTACTTAAGGGTTTTGCAGAGCAGTTTCTTTCATAGTTTATTGGATTCAGGAAAACATGGCTTGTGATTAAATAGCTGAGGACAATTTCCAGAGGATTAGCCATGCTAAGTCTGTTGTATAAGAAGCAACAGGATTCTGTGGTACCTTAAAGACTAATACCTTTATTATAACTTAAGATTTTTGGACCAGAATTGGACTGCAGTCTGCAAAAGCTGATGCTATAACAGAGAACATTGTAGTATTTTCCTCTAATTTTCATGTTCCTTGTGGTCTGTTGTTCAGAAGGTGGAGAAAGAAGACAAATCATGTGTCTAAACTGAAATGTCTTTCTGCCATAAAATACTGGGTTCTGTAGCTTACTGATCACAGGGTAATTTGTGTGTGTGTGTACTTGTCCCAGTCAACTTACTGGTAAAGGATTTTAAAGGCTGCTTGTTTACACTGCAATCTCAATGAATAGATTTTTTAAAATTTATTTGCAATGTTGTTAAAACTTTCAACAGGTTTTTAGAACTTGCCATTTGTTTGCAGTAGCCATCAGCCTATGTATACAGTCTCCTAACAATGTTGACAGCTAGTTATTTCCATAGGCATTAAAGTGCTAGCTTTGCATTAAACAGAATTCTTGTATATCTTGCTTGCATAGCTAGCCTCAATGCCTATCGACTGTAGAAGAAGGTATGAAGTCCCAATACGGCCTTTCATTTTCTGTGACCTGGAGCTGGGATGGTGTTTATTTGATAAAACTATCCTCTTGATAAAAGAGGGTAATAGATTCTCTTACCCAGTGTGATGAAATTTTGCATAAAGCCAGTGTAACAACTGAGTTAGATCTTACTGTGCTTTGACTTAATGTCTGACCTATAGTATTTGTGACAGAGTAAGATTCAATAAACACTCTTTTTTAACACTTGCATTTTGCCCTTTCTTGTGTGAGATGTCAAAAGCAGCTGCACCAACTTCCTGCAATGGGTTCTTCATTTTCTTTATTTAAAGGCTTATTATTGTCAGGGATGGGTGTTAACTTCTGCTCATTCCACAGATGCAGGAAAAACAATGTGGACACAGAACTATACTCCTCAAAATTCCTTCATTCTTATGGCTGAAGAGATACTTTGTGTGGCAAGTATCTGCTGAAGTTTCAGAAGCAACAGAAGTAGCTCAGAGGTTGGAGCAAAGATTCAGTGTCTTGTACAGCTTCTTTCCTCTCCCCATAACAACTAAACCCAGAATAAATTCTGCAAAATAGTAAATTACAGGATAAATGAAGAAAGATGCTCAGATAACTAATACAAAATTGTATTTTTATCACATGAGCACAAGCTTAATTATTTTAATGTGGGGAGCACATAGTCCCTGAGTGTTGCAAATTGCATTCGCCAGTTTGTAGGCCAAGCTCCCCGAATACTAAAGCCTCATACTTCTATTTCATGTCTCACTTCAACTATAGCCTCACTGGTGGTCTCAGTGATGCTGGTCTCCCCATAGTGTTACAAAGATTTCTAATGGAATGAATGTGAAGCACATTAGGAGAGTATGAACTATTATTTCCCCAGTAGTACTGTAGCATTACAGTTGTCTTAGGGATGTGCAGCAAGTGGAGTCATGTTCTTTTCCTTTGTCTAGGATCATAGGTTGGTAGGAACTCAGGAGTTGCTCACTACAGCCTCTCCCAAAAGATCTAGCAATGTTCCAAGGCTACCTGAGTATGATGTGCATTTCAGGCTAACCTGTATGTTCGAAGAAAAATAGCAAAAATCCAACAAGCAGCATCCCAAAGCTGTCTTCAGCTGTGTCCAGAATCCTCAGAAAAGCATGGCAACTGATGTGGAGAGGTTCCCTCAGGGATGGAAACCTCTGGTTTAGGACAGGAATGTATTAAAGGTGGTTCTGAAAAGAAAAGATTAGGCTTCTCAAATGTTACAGGTTTCCTTAGCATATTTTAATGCTGATAATGTGAGTTGAGCTTGAGCTGGCTGTTTAAATATGTTTTAGGTTCAAAGGAATGTGTGATAACTCAGCAGTATCATAATGCACTGGACTACAACTCCCCCAATCCCCAACTTGGATGGTCATGCTGACTAGCACTGGTGGGGGTGACAGTCCAAAACTTCTCAAGGAGGCTGAAGAAAACTAACTTCCTTCCTGTTCCCCCTCTTCCTGTTAATCCTTACATGAGTGGCATTAATGAGCCCAGTATGAAAGGAGATTACTGCTGAAAATACATTTCAAATTAACATGGGCAGACAATCATGTTCATAAACTAAACTCAGTGCTTTTTTTTGTAAAAAAAAAGGTGCCGGAACTCATGTCCCGCTGGCAGTAAGCACACACACACCAATCCCAAGCAGGAGCAGTGTCCCAAGCAGCTCTCTCTCACTATCAGTTAGCAGACAGCAGACACAATAGCAGCCTGCAGGCACTATATTAATGATGTTTGCTGCTGATCTGCTACTCTGTTCAAAAACACTTCGTAAAATCCATTGAAAAAAAGGTGTTGGAACGCCGTTCCGGTGCGTTCTATGACAAAAAAGAGCCCTGACTACTCATGCACATTCACTGCACCTATAGGGAAAAATACAGAAGTGGGAATTGGAGGGGGCCACATGATAAGCAGAGTATATTGAGGCCATATCACCTCCCCCCTCCCATTTTTGTCCAGAGGACAAAATGAACAGGGCCTTTAGGAAGCATGTGATAAATCTTCCTCAAAGTGAGAAATGCCAGCATTTGAGGCACTCACAGAAATACACCTTCAGTATAAACTCCAAAGAGACAAAGCCTAAGCAAGGCCTGTCCTTAGCTAAAGGGTGCATGAAACTCTGCCAGGTTCGGAGGAGGGTGTGACTTGAAGGGCACTTCTTTTTATTCAATATATTAATATTTATTTACCACCCCATTCCTATAGGATCTGGGTGGTCTACAAGAAATTACACTCCTCAAAGTCCCTAGGCGTGGGTGCCCTGGAAGCTATTCCTCCATAAGAAAAATGGGTGCCCACTCACCTGCTTGAGGCCAACTAGCACCCCCGCTGGCTGTACTTGGCTGATTAGCTGCAGGTGCAAGCCGCCAGCAAATGCAGGCTACACCACTTCCCCTTTGGAAGGGGAAATGGAGGCTACACCACTTCCCACCCAAGACGGGTGGGCCGATGTTTTGGCCTACAGCTCCCATCATCCCTCCCCATTCACTACGTTGCTAGGGCCACTCAGTGTTGTAGGCCAAAACACCTGAAGGACTCTGGGCACCCACTCCTTGTGCAATTCCTGGGAAGGGAGAGTGCCACGTTCCCTGGCACTCTTTGAAGCGCCCACACAGGGCATCCTCTGACACTGCTTTGGCCACACAAGGCAACAGAGGACGAAAGCCAGTGGCAGCTGGAAGCCAACTTGCCTGGCAGGGCAGATGAGCAGAGGTGGAGCCCGGTGGTGGAGCCAACATGGTGCAGAGTTGCTTTTAAAAATGCCGAAGCTGGTCAGTCAGCCTTCTGGCACAGGGGCTTTCTGAGACATTATACTGTGCCAGTGCAATTTTAGCTAGTTTTTCCAGACTCACAAATCCTCCACGAGCTCATGCTTTTTCCGCTCTCACAAATGAATTATAAGCTAGTTTATTATTTTACTAGATGTGCAGATGCCTTCTAAAAAAGCCCCTAATTTTTCTAGACTCACAAATTGTCTACCCCTCCCCTTTTAAAGCAAGTTGACATACCAGGGCTGTGCTGGTCTGGCCTGGCTCCTCAGAATAGCGAGGAAACACTCAATTCACCCACCTCTCTCTCCTTTCTTTCCTGCCCCAAATTCAAGGGTTTCCAATGGGAGAAGCCAGCCTTGGCATACGAAAAAATATTTTTTAAAGGACAGAAAGGTGGGGAGGTGGTGGCAGAGACCATGAGGCACACTTCTGAGGCTAGGTCTTAAAAGCAGGAGAATACACGCTCTTTACCCCATGCTGGATTTCGATACTGACATCCTATTAAAAGCAATGGTCCATGACCAACTCTGGACTGTAGCAAGGCAGTCTAACAATGGAAGCATGAATAGAATGTTTAAAAGTGGCAGGGAAGAGTGTCCAAAATAAGGTTCAGACAATAAATAAATGAATAATGACTAAAGCAGTACTACTGAACGAGTTCGTATACTTGGAATTGATTTCTAGCTCAACAAAAGAAAGCACTTCTCTGCCCAGTGCAAAGTAACTATGCTTAAGGGAAGGCTCCAGCTTAGATTGTTTTGAAAAGGCTGGGAAAACTCATGGATGATGATGGATCAAGTAGGTGCTCCATGCAGAAGATCTGTGTAATTCTGAATACGAGATGGTGGAGATAAACAAGTGGGGCTGGCTGTAATTAGCCTTACGAGCACCTGCTGACCATGTTGTCACTACACTTCCTGTCTGTCGGATTCTGCAGCAGCCAAGATCCATTTATGCACTTCAGTCAGGATCATATCATAGCCTAGGCCCTTTCTCCATGGGAACCCTTCCTTAGTGCAGCCACCCTGTGTTGACAGACGTATAAGGAGCAACATTCTAAGGAAGGAAGCTGCCCATATTATCAGGCAACACTTCCAGTATTCCCTATTGCTGCAAGAGACATTGAAATACTTCTAAACTACCCATTTCTGTAAGTGATTTTCCAAACAGGTGAACAAAGCATCCAGCTTTCCCTCAGTCTGACACCAGCCAAATATTTGGGACTTGACACCCATCATTCCTGCCCATCCCTGGTGGGAATCCCATACAGCTGGAGGGCACGGCACGGAGCTCAGCCTCAAGTCAGCTAAATGGCCAGTATTGACATGAAATTGAACAGAGGCAGGAGGAACCCATCCCAGGAGGAGCAAGAACACAAACCATCATACTTGGCCACAGAATGGCTCCCACTAGACAAGTATTCTTCATAGCCTGGAATAGAAAGGACCAGGCACTTTCATTCTATTCCTCCTCTCCCTGGGCTGAAACAATCAGCTACACAGCATGGTACTACCTTCAGCTGGAGCCAGGCTCTCCTCTTGCTGCCATCCCCCTTGGAAAGATGGATACATGTGTCTGCACTGCCACAGGAAGACAAATTATTGGGTGAGGGGGAAGATTAGGGAATCTGGTAGTACTGACAACATGAAGCTCTCGGACACTAACGGCAGCAGGTGGCCTTCATATAGGTAACCCTTCCCTTTCCACTCTGCTGCATGATTGGTCTGCTATGCATAATCTTACATTGGTGCTGGTTAGGTTTTGTTATGTTCTGTGCAGCACTAGCATATTATATCTGATTGGCCTGTTCCATTTGTCAGCAGCTATAAAGAGATTGATCAACCATCTGGCTTGAAATTGCATGATGAATCATTAAAAGGGTGGGGTACAGATGGTAGATGTGGTGAGAACCAGAGTGCTGGTGGAACAAGGATTGTAATGCAGAGTTCCCTATCCAGGAAGAAGAGGGGCAGAGAAATACACTCACACAAAGATATGGTTTACTTCCCTCTAGGACCATGGATGCTATTTATGCAACACTCAAAAGTCAAAGCCAGATGTCAAGTGAATTTTCTAACGGCATGTAGGAAGGTACTCAGCAGTACCAGGCAGGAGGAGATCCCCTGGGAAAGGTGTGGGGGGGGGAGGCATGTGAAAGGATGCCAACTCCGACTCTACAGTATCATTTCCTAGCATCTCTAGGGAGTGTCTGCTTGTTATGTACAGTACAAACCATTTCTATCTAATTTTAATCAAAGCTTCTTCAAAAGTGTATGGAATTTGAGTTACTTCACAACAAAACCCTTCCCTTCCCTTCAAACCAACTTCATTTTTTAAAAAATCACAGTGGCCCTTTGCAATCTGTAACAGAACTCACCAATGAAGCAACAGCCAGTCACTTTGGGAAACTGTGGCCTCAGTCCAGCTGTAGTTGTGAGACACTACTAACATGCCACAGCCGATCGTGTTAGACACGGGCACACCCCCCTCCCCCTCCCACTCACACACACTCAATCGCTCAGCAGGGTTCAGGTGGTATGAAGTGGCTCGTGAGCTGCATCAGTTCCCCCCCCCTTCCCACACACAAACAGAATTAGGATTTCACAACTTCAAGCTTTTATATTATATATATTATATATATTATATATTTAAAAAATGAGGTAAGGCATCCTGCCGAGAAAGAACATGCTGGAACCTCCTCCCCACACACCACCGGTTCCTTTCCAGCTAAAACATCAGCCATTATTGCTCCGCCTTTGGAGGAATCCCAGTTGGCTGCCTGGGGGTGAAGAGTACTTTATTGCCGTATGTGGCGGCCCATGGGGCTGAAGTCCTTTGTCCTCCCAGAGTGCAACCCACAGAGGCCACCTCTAGCAAGTAGGGGAGGTGGTGATGGGGCTGTGCAGGTAGGGAAGGCTGCCAGGGGTGGAATGCACTGCCACGGAGACGGGGAAACTGAAGACAAACTGGGACGTCGGGGTGGAGGAGCTCTTGCCCCTCTCTCGGAATGTTGCGGAAGGACTGGCAGCCTCAGCCGCACAGGACGGGGCCAGCACCTGGGATTCAAACTGAAGCAGCTGTCCCATGAAGCTGAAGTTGGGCGAGATGATGCTGCGGCGTTGCTTGACGAACTCGAAGGCCTCCTCAAGCTTCACCTGCTTCTTCATGATCAGGTAGGCCAAGCAGATGGTGGCTGATCGGGAGATACCAGCTTGGCAGTGCACGAGGACCCGGCCGTGACAAAGCTTCACAGAGTCTGGGGAAGCAGAGCAGAGCAGAATCATCAGCACCTGACAGGAGTGGAACAAGAGGGCTGCTGGATCAGATCGAGGTCTATCTGGCCCAGCAATCACATCTGGCTGGCCACCGCAGGAAGCCCATGAGCAGGACAGGAATGTAACAGCACCCTCCCACCCATGCTCCCCAGCAACTGGCTGATGGGGGTTGCCCCTCACTCTGGAGGAATTCTATAGCCTTATCTTCCACAATTTGGTCTGGTCCCCTTTCAAAGCTACCCAGGCTGGCAGCCGTCACATCTTGCAGAAGTGAATGTTTAACTAGGCACTATGGGAAGTAGTACTGCCTTCTTGCCTAGAGTTTCCCACCAATCAGGGAGTGAAATGCCACTGTGCCACAATTCACCAAGCACACAGGAAAAACTCCATAAAATGCTGTTGGCTGCTAAGATCTTCTTAAACTCATTCCATTCCAACTACCAAATAGATTTTAGGCATAGGTGAGAATTTCACTCCTGTTTGCAAATACTCAATTGTGCCAGTTCCCAATTCAAGAAAGCCTGATAAAGAATCTGCAGGATGGAGTCATAGAAATCCAAACTCATTTTAGTCCCTTGTGGATTTCTCCAACATCCCTATGGGTCACAGAACTCACCCCCCTGCGAACAAGCATTTTATATTGCCATAATGGGGAATGTTTAAAGCAAACTGTACTCCTGTTTTGAGGATACACTTAAAACATATCTTTGCAATATGCCTAATGACATCACTGAAACTAGCAGAGACACAGGCAGACAACTGATGCATTAGGCTTCAGCTCCTCAAGCATAAACAAAAGGAGCTGCATATCACTATAAATATAATGCATGAGGCATATAAATTTGCATAACAAAATCACAGAGTTGTAACAATGTTTTGTGCATTGTAGAAGTCTCAGAATGCAGCTTTTTGTTAAACTGCACCCATTTTTTAAATGTGCATATAGATAGATATTGGAGTAAAAGTGTTTCGCTCACATAGGCGTCGTGTGCTCGCGCGCTCTCTCTCTCTCTCTCTCTCTCTCTCTCTCTCTCTCTCTCTCACACACACACACACACACACACACATATCCTTTGATCTAATTACTCTTGATGTCCCTCAGCTGAATGCAGTCATCAAGCAGGCCATTCCAATGGCATCCACACGTTACAAACTGCCCATCCTTGGTGGCTGCTCAGTGAGAGCTTGTTCACGTGTGCACTGAGATCATTCACTTGATGCTGAGAGCCAGGCCATGCTAAACAAGCATGCATGGAATGAGCAAGTAGCTATGCATGGACCACTCACACAGAAGCAACTAAGCACCAGCAGGGCAGGGTGTTACCATGAGGCTTGGAAAAGCGGATCTGTTTCCCCAACCCTTGGAAAAGAGTTCCACGTATTCAAAGCCCAGTTCTTAACTTAACAATAACCTGTCACAGCCCCTGGCCTATCTGCCTTCTCTCCCAGCCTTGGAAGAGTGTTACTCGAGCAGCTGCACTAGGGAGGAAGGCTTCTCTGCATAAATAGCTCAGCTAGGATGCTGCCCCACTGGGGCCAGGTATCGGGAAATGTGCTTCTCAGCATCACTGTCAGGTGTTCGTAGTGCTCCTGTTGTCCCAGGAGGCAGGGAGAGAGAAGATTTTCCCCTGTTCTGCCACTGCAGGAACAGCAAGCCTGGCTGAGGTGGGGAGAAGGTAAACTGGGACAAGCAGGGGGAGCAGCTAAAGAGCTTTTCCACCGCAAATTTTAATCCAAGCTGAGGAAGCACTGCAGAGCCACAATGTTCTCATTGTTCTTGAGATGCATTATGATCTTCCAAAACCTGGGCTCCCAATCCAGAAATTGTGGGATCCAACTATGACCTAATGTCAGGAGGCACAACAGGGGCAGTTTTATCCAATTTTATTGGTGTGTGTGTTGGGGGGGTTGGGCAGAGGTAGTATTGTATGTGCAAACCAATTCCTATCAGCCCACTTAAGGTTTTGGAGGAGAAAAGGACCAGCTGGAAGCAGCAGAAAGAGCCACATGCTTTCTAAAAAAATATAACTGAAGATAGGGAATAGTTTAAAATGTCTTTCTATCTGGTGTGCCAACTCTGAAGACCAATTGCTCTTTCAAACAAGGGCCTGTAAATGTCCAATAGTACATTTAATAATATAACTAATTCAACCTATGTAATTAGATATCTATGGATGATTGCAGTGTGGCCTTCAAGGTGCCATTCTCTGGTCCCAGGGAGGGCATGTCCCAGGGCCAGAAGGTATCAGAGTTTTCTGTCCCTACCTGCCATCGGGGACCCCACATTGCAGGGAGATATGGGGGTCTGAGACCCACTGGCCACACACTGCAGGCTGTGGAGGCCAGAACAGGGACTGTCAGGAAAGGCCTGGAATCCCCCTATATGAACCTGACCAAAAGCCATAACTATGCCAGCCTTGGAGTTGGCACAGCTGCTTGCAACGGAAAGAAAACATTAAAAAGACATGCCAGTTCAAGACCTGCCGAGCTGCCATCCTGGCCCATGTGAGCAAGCAGGGTGTTGGATGCAATGAGCACCCCACTGCAGACCCTCCCCCCTGCCCCAGTCAGCAGCACTTGTCTTTTCAATCTCTCTGCCTGGCCCACCAATGCAGCAAACACACAGATGGGCGTAATGCAGACGGTGGCCACTCAAGGGCCCAAGGGGGGCAGTGGCAGAGCTGCCACGGGGCAAGAGAGCTGTTGGGGCCTTGAAGAAGCCATCCTCAAAAACAAGCAAGCAAAGGAACAGAACAGAACAGAAGGCATGGGATGGAATAATGCAGTGGGACGATCCGTTTTACAGACATCATCCCTGCTCAGGCCTGAGTCAAAGCAGAGGGCCCCCCAGCTGGTCAAGGCCACATTGGGCTGTCTGAGCTAAATAAAATGACACGCAGCACTCGCGCTTACCTATGTACTCAATGGCTTCCATGAACCAGGAGCTGATGTCAGTTTTGTGGTTATCTTCCACTGGAATGCATTTGTACTGAAAGTCTCCCTCAAAGTGGTTTGGGCAGTCTGATGAAACATTGAGCAAGGCCGTGATCCCCAGCGCGTCCAGCATGTCTCTCCTAGCGGCGTGATGTGCACTGCCAAGGAAGAGGAAAGGGAGGATTTCCACTGGGCCACCCTATTCCGGAGAGAAGAAGAGGCAAGAAAAAGGAGTCATTGTATACAGGCAGGAAAAGAAGAGTGCTGGATCAAGAGAAACCTGCTAAGACCAATGGGATAACTGCCATCATCACCTTCCCTGATTCCTCCTATTGCATCACCCTGGTAATTTGCAGTTGTTTAGGCTTGGTGTGTGTGGAATGTCATTCACTGGGAAGGAATCTTACAGAAATCACTTTCCAAAAGTGCTTTTTTTTTTTTTTTAATTTCACTGAGCCACTGGCAGTTTGATTCTTCAGTTGCTGGATGCTGCTGCTCAAATGTTCTTGTAGATTTTAGTGTTTATTCTGCTATGATGTGCGAAAACAAATTCTGCATTATGAGCTCTTATGCAGAAAAGCAGTACATAGGTATTGTCAGTGCAAAAATACATGTTTTTGTGATGGGGCAAAATGTGCATTTTTGGTAGGCAGAGCTACATATGCTGTCCTGCCACAGGGCAACCCACATGCTGTGCCAAGAAAAGCTGAATGCTGCCACTTGAATAAATCGTTTGAGATTTATATCCTGCTGTTTCCTTATAACACACTCAAAGCAGCTTACATCATTCTCCTGCTCTCAATCCCATCCCCAAGACAACAACCCTGTGAGGTAGGTTGGGCTGAGAGTCTGTGCCTGACCCAAAGTCACCCAGTTGGCTCCATGGCTGAGAAGGGACTAGAACCCAGATCGTCTGAGTCCCAGTCCCATGGTCTTAACTATACCAAACTGGCTCTCAATCTTAATGCTCTCGATTAAGTTACATTATCTACTTTTTTATTGGTCATTTTGCTGCTCTGAGGGACAGGCAAGGCACTATCCGAACCCTCCACTCCTGTCATCTTAGGAAATGCTGCCAAGTCCCCTCTGGCTTTTCAGATCGCAGTGGACAGATTGGTATGTTTCCTCACTTCCTAGCTTCTCACCCCCACAACCATAAGGACTAGAAGCAGGTTTCCTCTTCAAAGAAAAACAACGGAAGCAAATTCTCTTAAGGTGGTAAGCTGTACAGCTATGACCAAGCAGAACTTGGTTTGTATTTGCACAAAACTACCTCATTCTGTAACATGTACAGGTCAGGCCTGCAGGCAAATCCTAAGCAGATCTGAAGGGATGACAATTCCCATTCATACTGTGTACATCCAGAACTGACATGGCTTTTGTGAATTGTCCCCATTCACTCTTCCCTGGTGATCTTCTGTTGTGCATACCTTTTGGACAGTCACAATACCATCACGGTTTTCTGATCCTGTTGTGAAATTCAAGTCATTGCCTTGAGTGCGGATATACTTTTAAACCGCATTGCCATGTTCTGTAGACTTAAGATGACGGAGCAAAACTGGGTACATGATAAAATACCACTTGAATTGCATTTAGGGATGCAAGGGCCAGTTGACTTGCTGAGTCATGGTAAGCACACATGCCCCAATCGGGCTTCTGACATATCTGAGAAAAGACACCATGTCACTTGCTAACAAGGAAAAAATGCCAGTGAACTTAGCATCTTTGTTTTTTGTTTTGAGAGAGATGTGCATGCATACAGCAAAGTTGTATGAACTTAGAATTATAATATTCATATGTCAAGATACAAAAATTTGCTTCTGAGACTGTTTTACATCCCTTTGCTGGCCATTGAAAAAACCTGCCCTGTCAAGAAAACGCGTTCCTTTTGAACACTGCAAGTACATGTACAGGACCTATCTCCTCTGTTTCCTTCCATGAAAATGCTACCATTAGATGGGAAGCTACTAGTGAGCAAAAGAACATCACCTGGTTCCAACAAGAAGTGTTCTTCTCAAATGGTAAGTGTGACACTCAGCATGCCAGAGCATCAGTACACGATTGCTTCTACTTTCTGGCCTGGTAGAATAGAAGCACCCCTCCCAAAGCAGTCTACATTTCCATTCTTTGGCCAAGTCCAGGCACAACCGGGATTCAAGGAGTTAGCCCTGTGCATGGAAGCCTTACTGGATTGGGAGCCACATGCCCAGGTCTGCTGCAAGTGCACATCTGCATCACAGTGCGCATCTGGACAACATCAGAGCATGTCATCACTTTCGAAAGAAGTGGGGAAAGGGAGAACTGCAGTCACATAACGTTTCTCTTCCTTTCCAAACTGGGCAAGGCCATTTTCCCATTTCCAAAATGCTCCAGAGGAGAACAAATTACCCAGGGCATTATCCTCAGAAAAAGTCTACTGTTTTACTGAAAGAGCAAACAGGTTGCTTCAGTTCTCATGGGCAAGGACGTTCACCCACTGAACCAGGCTCATACTGGCACATCTTCATCAAAGCCTTTCATTTCTGACAACTGTCAAATGCTGGGAAGCACTAGAAAGCCAACCTGGTCATGTTGCAGTGTCCCACAGGAACTGCAGCTGTGTTCAAGGTGTTCCACACTGGGCGAGGTCAATACAGTTGTAGGAGATGTCATCTTTGCACAAAATTCTGGGTATTCTGAATGAAACCTCTCATAGCCACCTGAAAATCAAAGACATGGCAAGAGGTTACACCTGAATGTAATGTAGCTCATGACAAAACACAATGTGACATACCCTGGACCAGTCAGATGTGGGGAGGGGGAATTTCTTGCAGTGTTTAGCTTCAAAGCTCCTTCCTCCCCCCGCCCGCCCGCCCACCCCACCAACTGACCAGCTCCTTCCTAAAGTCTTCCTTAAAGAACTTTCCTTCTCAACAGCATAGTGGTTCAACAGCACAAAACAGTTCTTTGGGTTGCTAAAATTTATTAGCAACCACTTTCAGTTTTCTTAAATGTAAACAATGTGAGAAAAGTGTATATTACTGCCTTTATATTTTTATGAATAGTCTGAAAAAATCCACATAATATAAAATTGAAATTTTAATGGTATTTTCATTTTCCCCCCTGAAATATTTTGGCATATTTTCTTCCAGGTGTGCCCTTGACCACCCTTGTGTGCACCCAGAACATAACCAACACAATATATTTTAGGTCAAATACTTATGGTGTATTAAGAATTAACACAGAATGCTTTTTTAATCTTTGTTGTTCATAAAATTCAAGTAAAATAAACATGCAAAAGTGGATCACCCACTAGGGGCATCAGAAAAAAAAAATCCAAAGCAAACTATAAGCGTCATTTTCACTGGAAATTCTTCAAAGCTACCTAACCTTTTCCTGGAATGCCCACATCACTAACTGCAACTGTTTCCTCTTTCAAATCTTTCTTCAGGACTGGTGAGATGTGGAGGGTTTCCTAGCAAGTTGAAATTACCTTCTGAGGGGTGACAGAAACAGAATTTGCAACTGAATCTGTCTGGTGGTTGTGTTGCTAGTCAGTAGGTGTTTTGTTGGACTAAACTAAATCATCAAGAAGTATTTATTTATTTATGTTTTGATTTTTATACACTGCCCCACTCCCATAGGCTCTAGGCAATTTACAAGGCATTAAAACCAACAAGAGTTAAAATTTCCACTAAAAAGAGGCATGTATCGATAAAGCTCTATTCTGTTCCTGTGGGTCTGAATCTAGACAACCATCTCCTACCTCTTTGCAACAATATTAGACTTCACAGTGCCAAGCTGATTGTGGAAGCATAATCAAAAATTTGCTACAGCTCCTGTGGTAAATGGTGTGCTCATCTTGTATACAAGCTCCAAACAAAGGATGCAAAGCTTGCAAATCACATGCAAACCCCCACGGATTGCTGGACAAAGTTCAGGCAGAAAGGTGAACAAGAATGCCAGGTTGTCAAGCAGAAATTCCTGGAACTCCAGTGCCTAATGAAAGGTGTTGGGACTCAAATCACCCCCAAAGAAATTATATCCCCTACCTTACCGGATGCATGGGATTTCTTACAGGTATCCAGTGGTTTACAGTACTTTGCATATGCTCAGGTAAAGTCTTTTTTGCATGTCTGAGGGCTAAGCTCTGGCTTTAAAATCAGGTTCCAGGACATACAGGGCAATCCTACACATGCTACACAAGTAAATTTACTCTCAGGTAAATGTGCACAGGATTGCTGCCATAGTCTTGCTGAAACCAATGGGGCAGACCACGATTAGCCAAAATCCCTCTGGAAGCAGCAGGACGAGTTAACTATGTTTAGCTAGATTTGGATATTCAAGAGGAAACACTAAGGTTAATTGCTTGGTGCCAACAATCAAGGCCAATTCAGTTGCCAGCCTTGTGTATGACAGTAGAAAGCCTTCAGTCGTTTAGATGCCAGCATCAACTGTTTATAGACGTTCTTCCAAACCTTGAAGCATTTGTACAAGAAAAGTCATTTAAAGCATATTGATTCCTATCTTCCAGAGTAAAATAGATTTTTCTATCAGTGCCTTTATCCAAGGTTTCTAGAGGCACCATTAATTTTGACCACTTGTCACTGACAAAGCTTTTAACAGAATCACAGCCAAAAGTATACTGACACGAGCAACAAAGTCTAAAAATAAATTGCAGACAACTGTTGAAGAAAATCTACCCACCAGGCAGTTAAAAAGACAACACTCTTTTAGGCACATATAACAGGTATCTGTGTGTCTAAGATTTTGTACAAGCTTAGACAGAAAAAGCCTACAACTCCCATTAAGCCCCAGCTAACAGAGTTGTGAACTCATGGGGGGGGGGGGGCAGCAGAACAGTTCTTTCTGCACTGGTTGCAAGGCATACAGGATGCAGGCTCAGCCAGCATTCATGGGAGTTGTAGGACTTTTCCTGTTTAAACGTGTACCAGATTGAGCCTTTATTTCCATTTCTTTCATTGTGTAACTCTAGGCTTAATTCCCAGAATAAAAATCAATCATTCCACTTATAAAACCTTCCCTAATATTGTTAGAAATTGTAACAAAGTATTTAAAAAAATAAGTTTCATTATTTTACCATGACTTAGGCAGTTGTGCTTTTATACGGAACCCCAATATCGAGCTTATGAAAAGATTAAAGTATTTTTATAGCTCTAAAAAAGAACCAGTGTTTCAAAAATATTTGAAGAACTTTTGACCAATTGATTTTGGCAAATCCGATGCCCAACCCAAAGACCACCCGGAGTCTCCAGTGGTACATTCCAGTTGCAGACTTGGCACTTACATGAAAATGCCAGACAGCTGGAGGGCCAGTTTCTTCACCATCCCCACCACACAATAAAGGAGCAAGTCTGCTGCGGGGTTTTTCTTAAATGGTTAGAATAGAGCATCAAAGAGCAGCTTGCCTCTTCAGCCATATGAAGTGATGCAGTGAATGCTCTCAAGAAACTCCTGATAACCTGCATGTACCAGATGTAACCTTTTGGGTTTGCTTTGCAGCCACTGAGGATAATTCAGATGGCATCATTGGCTGGTGAGCAAGCCAAAAGAACGTAGCTGCTTGTCCTTCGAGAACCACCAGAGCAGTGAGCTTCAATACATTTTCTGGGAAGCCTCAGATGTTTATTGATCGCAAGTGAATTTGCGATTAATCCCAAGCTTGCTAGCCCATCTTTGTCCAGAACAAAGAAGAAAAAGCAGCATGAAGCGAGTCACAACATACACAACATGGAGAGGGACCACAGAAGTTTGAATAGCCTTCAGCATCTCCAGTTAAAATGCTAGGAAGCAAGACCGGGAGAGACCCTGCAGAGCCACTGCCAGTCAAGAGACAATAGGGGACTAGATGGACCGAGGGCTGACTCAATAAAGTCGGGTTAGGTAAATGGGAGGCCAAATCCAGTTTCCCAAAGCCTGCTCTCTGGATCCCCAGCAAAGTTCTGCTCCCCACCACACTGTCTTCTTATTAATATAATAATGTACCTTATTACAAAGCCTCTCCTCCTATGGACAGCTGCTCACTCACATTGTTTACACAATCTAGGGCCTACTGAGTGGCTGAGATGCATCCAAGCAGGTGACTCTGACAGGGCCTCAGAAACACAGAACAGAAGGAAGCCAGCAGCCCTGTTGACTACTCTCTTGCTTTAATGTGCCCACCTGTGGCCCACATTCAAGGTGAGCGACTGATCAAGATGAGAAAGCCATTTTCATCTGTTAAGAGTCATTCAAAAGAAACAAACCCTGAATATTTAATCGAATGCAGCTCCTTGTCAACCACCTGGAAGGCCAAGGGAAGCAGAGCTAAGTCTTGCAAGCCTGTTTTTAAAAGGTGGTGGGGTGCGGGGAGACGTCCTCTTTTGGCCCAGGATGTTTTCTTTTGGGATGTTCAGAACATGAACCCACACATTGTTGGTTGTATAAAGAATTTGTCTGTGCAAAGCAATTTCAATGGAGCACGTGCATAGACCCCCCCCCCACTCCCACTGGGCTTTGGCATTAGGGCTATAAATGGGATTTAAGGCAGCTTCCCCTCCCTGCCCTCCCTTCACCTATTCGGCTTTCAGGATGCATTCCTCAACCATGGGAGGGAAGAGGCTGTCCATGGAACAATAAAGCAGGATCCCCCACCCTCTTCCCTTCCTTCCTTCTACCCACCCACCAACTCACCCACCCACCAACTCACCCAGGGCTTGTGTGGTTCAAAAGGTCACCAGCAGCCTACACGGGCAGCATGTGCGCAGTTGCTCCCCCATCCCCCGCTGACAGGTCAGATGAGCAGGAAACAACCTCTAGATATAATGCAACCCCGTCCATGCTCCGTCCCAGCAAATCCAAAGGACCCCCCCACCCCCCCAATCTCTGACTAGCACGGTTACTGAGAAGGATGCGGGAAGGCTGAGCAAAGAGGAGAAAGGAACGAGCCGATCTCGCTTCTTCGGGAAAGGAGTTCGCTCGCCCACCCCCAGCGAATGTAAGCAAGGTACCAAACGTATGTCCCCCTTGCACTGAAAGGCTCCATACATTCATTACAGGTGCAACGAGCGATTTAGCACCTAAGCAAGCCCCGGGAGGAAAAAAAGCAGCAGGCAACAGTTCACGACCACGAACTGCGGAGGCAGCGACCTTCGCCGCAGAGTGCGCGGCTCTACAAACAGTTCCGAAGAAAAATAGACCCTGTCCAAAGATCCGTCTCCGTGATCTCCCCACGTAGGGAACGAATCACCGATCAGATCAGAGGCAAGGCGTGGGGGCACCTTCGCCACCAGTCGTGAGTCACAGTTAGATAGCCCGAGAGACAGGTGCGCAGTGCCCACGCCAGCCAGGAGCTCAGACAGCGAGGCATGCTCAGAGATACTCTCGTTGTACTGCTCCACGGTGCAACCGATTCTGCGGTAGGAGAGCTAGTGGTCCAGAGTTGAGCCCCGTGGCCACAACAGCCCCCCTACAAGCGCGCTTAAGCCCTTCGGTTTCGAAGAGCTTACAGGCTTTTAACTCGGTTGGAAGGTTTATCCGATGAGGGCTTAACCCCGGGTTGACCCAGCTGTCACCCGGGGGGCTCAGACACAGGCAGGCTGCATCTCCGCGCCGAGACAGGCGCCGCCGCAGGCCCCCCCTCACTCCCGCTCACCTTTCAGCAGGCGGATGTCGGTGTGCTCCGTGTCCCTGCGAAGCGCCCGCACCACCAGCGAGACGGTGCTGTCCTCTCGCAGAGACTCGGCCCGCAGGCTCCGCTCGTCGTACACGACCACGGCCGAGTAGAGCCCCGAGCGGAGGCGGGCGCGCACCTCGTCCTCGGCGGGCAGGATCTGCTCCAGGCTGACGGCGCCTTTGGCGCGGCGCCGGACGATGGTGTTGCAGCGCACGTTGAGCGCGCCGCGGATGTAGCCGGCGCTGTGCGCCAAGAAGGGCCTGCAATCCAGGAGGAGGCACTTTCCCGCGGGCGGAGGAGCCGCGCTGCCCTGGCCGTGGCCGCCGCTCTCGCCCCGGTGCAAGAGGTGCTGGAGCACGCTGCAGTCCATCTCCTGCAGCTCCACCATGGCCGCCGGGCCCGAGCAGCCTCCCTGCTCCTTCTCCTCTTCCTCCTGACCCAGCGAGGGCCACGGCCTCAGCGCGTCGTGCCCGCGTTTCCGCGCAGCACCGGCCGCTCCGCTAAGAGTATGAAAAATGGCATCGCCGCTCCTACTGCCGCCGCTTTTGGTGGCGGCGGCTGCGGCGGCAACAGCGGGGCAGCCGGCGCGATCTCCACAGCGCGTGGGAGGGCCCCTTTTGCTCCCTCGCCCCGCCCCCCACATCCGGCCCTCTCCCCAGCCTTCCCCTTTTCCCCTCCCCGCGGCACCGGGCCTCATCCTTGCGTCCCTTCCTTCTCCCGGAGTGAATGAAATGCGGCGAGGGACGGCGACGTCACCGTGGAGCCAATGTAAACGACGCCGCTGCGCTGCTGCTCACGTTCATTCATAAAAAAGGCAAGACGGCGAGCGGCGCCAGCTCGTGAGGGGACGGGGACGACGGGAGCTGCAGGCGATCTTTCTCTGCCGCTCGGCGGGACCCGCTGTCGCCGTTTCTGCTGCTGCTCGAAGCAGTGGTCCTCAGCCCCGCGTTCTGGGCAACTGTGAGAAAACGGCTCCCGTGTGCTTTGCACGGGAAGAACTGCTAGGCAGTTGAGGGGCGCCGAGCGGTTGCTGCCGCAACAAGCCCTCCGGGCTGACTTCGCGTCTCATGCACCGCTTTCTAAATACATTTGCCTCATTCACCACCATTCCCTTACTCTTGTTTTTCAAACTGAAAGGCAAAAAAGTGCAGGCTATGGCAATTACCGTAACAGCTGTTATCTCTAACCTTTGGGTGCTAACACAGGCTTTATTGGAATAATGATCCAATTAACTTACCTAGTAAAACCTTTCACCTTATTCAAACCTTAGAAAACAGAACTGATTCTCTTTGTGGATTGTACTCCAACAGTTCCTTCCATGATGAGTTTTTGAAATTCATTTTTTTAAATTTGTCGCCTTAAGGTACCTGACCTACAAACCTCGCAACTTGGGGTTACAATTACACCTTATACTGGCATAGTTTTATTAAATATCAAATTGTTTTATTAAATGGTGGATGCCTTCAGAGCAGACTTCTAGCCATGTTGATGTTAAGTTAAGCAAGACTGGGGCTGGCCTGAGCTTGGAGGATAGACCACCTGGGAACTGTATGTAGACCTCTTCAAGTTCCACAATAGGAGAAAGGTGAGGTATAATTATAAAAAATATATTGCAATAATATTTGATGCTGTCTTCAGCGCCCTCTGGCAGCATCCAGGCTTTTCTGTTGTCCAGAGGCCCAAATATATCTTGCATACAAATACATGTGAAGTTAGGTTGGCAGCTCTTTTAAAATAAGGCAAGGGACTTCTAGTTGGGGTAACTGGCCTGCAGGACCTTGTCCTTTCTTGCCGGTTTCCCGTTCCATATCTCCACCGACAACTTTCTCTCATGCACGGAAAGGAAAAGATAAAAAACTCCCTCCCCGGAACTGGCCAGTGACATGCGGTTTAGGCCTTAGTAGGGACAGAGCTCATCTGCGCAGGTGCTGAAAGAAGCAAATGTGTTTAGAAAAGTGCATGAGACGCGAACTCCGCCTAGAAAGCCTGCGGCGCTTCGAGGCAGCAGCCCAGAAACGGCGGTAGAAGGTCCTGCCGAGCGGCAGAGCAAAGCAGCCTGCTGCCCTCCCCCTCCCGAACTGGCACTGCTTGCCGTCTTGCCTTCTTTTTTATGAATGAACGTGAGCAGCAGCGCCGTTTACATTGGCTCCATTGTGACGTCGGCATCCCTCGCCGCACTTTCATTCATGCGGGAGAGGGAAGGAAGACAAGGCTGAGGCCTGGTGCCGTGGGGAGGAGAAGGCCAGGGAGAGGGCCGGATGTGGGGGGCGGGGCGGGGCAGCGAAAGGGGCCCTCCCACGCGCTCTGGAGGACGCGGCGGAGCGGCAAGGCCATTTTTCATTCCCGTAGCGGAGCGTCCGGTGCTTCGGGGAAACGCGGGCACGACGTGCTGAGGTCGTGGCCCTCGCTGGGGGTGGGCGGGGGAGCAGCAGGGGCCCGGCGGCTATGGTGGAGCGGCATGTGAGAAGTGAATTTTAGGCATGATTTAGACCCAGGATCGGATAATTTATACTTCTGGCTTCTGCCAAGAAAGCTTTTGCTGCATAAATTGATTTAGCAGGTGATCGCATAATCGAACTAAGACGTCTCACGTGTCCAGGGTCATCTTTGATACCTTGATTTCAGTTTAGGTGCTCATTGAATTCTATGCTGGACCTCCCTTATGAACAAGGAAGCTGAACCTCATGAGATACACCGATTTCACACTCACAATTGACCTTTAAAGCCTTCGCAAGTTTATACCGGCTGGCTGAGGGATGCTGGGAGTTGAAGGACGTTTTTTCAGCCAGAAAATGTGCATAGAATGCACCCAAAAACGGGGGGGGGGGGTTTGAAAAGGTTAGCACCTCTTTGTAGAACTGTACCACAGATGAAAAAAAAATGAAAGTGTGCTTTACCTGTTGGATCTCTCCCATGACAATCAGTAGGCCTTAAAACTTACCTGAGGGCTGGGCTGGATTTTACTCCATGTTGAGTTCAACAGTCCTGTGGTTCCTGGGGAGCTATAGACTCGTATGCTTCACTGTCAGATTAAACTTAACTAAAACCTAATGTTGTGGCTTGTCCTGATATTTTCTAATTGCCGCTAACTACCTAACAAAGAAGCCACAGAATCAATATCTTCATCTGAGTGTTGAACAAATGTGAAGGTGGCAAAACCGTCCACAAATATCAGCCAGCACTTTGAAGAATGGCTGCTATTAGCCTGAGTCCTTGTATTATTAACCTTGGAGCACATGGGGATGTTTTTAGCGCCTGTTCCGCAAGTTTCCTAATAAGCCATTTTTCCTCCTTAAGGGTGCAACTTTGACTCAGAGGTGATGGGGGAAAGTTCATGTTGATTTGTAAAAATTACATATTAAGTCATATGGATTGCAAAAGCAATATGTTACTCTCTGGAACACTATAAATAGTAATTAAGGTGAAGATTAGTACTGAAATTTTGCAAAGTGAGGAGTTTCCTTTCCTCACCTAATAATTATAGCAGGTGCTGAAGATTCCTCAGTCTCTCAGTGAAAGTTAAGGAGGTGTGTTATGAGAACATAGAATGCTTCACTTTCAGATTTATAATGAAAATGAATATATTGATGTTCCCAGTTTGAAGAAAACACATTCCGAAGTTTTTTCTTGAAAATGGGTCAATTGAATTATCAAAAATGTACAGAAATTACTGTGACATACTGGCATTCATCTTAAATGAAATGGGCACACATCAGACAACAGTGTTTTTAAGTCCCCCTCATTTCAGTGGGGGAGAGTTAAATGTATGTTTAATTCTCCCACTGTCATCAAAAAGATGTAAAAATAGGTTGGTTTGGCTATGTGCCCAGAATTCATCTTAATTTTTTAAAAAACCTTGCCCTTCAATTTATGAGTGTGTTAATTTCAGCAATCCACTCCATAAAAGGGTCCGTTGTGGCCCGTAAAACACGCAATCCAACAATGTACTTTCAGAGCAATGTATTTTTCAGTGAATTGCTGAGCAGCTGGACACATTGGGCTTAATCCATCGAAACCTAAGTGTCTTTTGTGAAACTTCCATTGATTTTTAGTAATACAGCTGAGTCCTTTAGAATTTCAACTCAGTTAAATGGAATTTCAGTGCACAGGTTTGGAGCAAATGCTTAATTTCCTCCCACTGAAATCCATGGAACTTACAATTCTTTGGCTGGATCATGCCCAGGAAGAATATAAGAACAGCAGTGCTAGATCAGACCAACGGTCCAATTAATCCAGCACTGTTCACACAGTGGCCCCTGGGAAACTCACCAGGAAGACTTGAGTGCAGTAGCTCCCCCGCTGCCATGTTCCCCAGCCACTGTTGGAGAGGCATAGGCAGGCCAGTTATCTGAGCCTGGGATCTCAGCCCATTGGGTAATATTAAAATAGCCAGCTTAGCCCAATAACATACATCGTGACTCATTCTTCTGCCTCCACCGAACAATTCTATACTGGGAAAGCAGGGCGAAGCTAATTATCTCTGCACCCTTTCTCAGGAAAAAAAATCCACAAAACGCTTCCTTTCATCTGCAGCCAGTACCAAAACTTGCCAGCTTCCAACATGCTTATGAATAAAAAGTGCCAGTGCCAGCTCCAGGGTTTTTTTTTTTTTTTTGGAGGGGTGCTCAAGTATGATCCCCGCATTGCCTTTATGAGCCCCCATCTCTCCATCATAATCATCTCTGCCACTGACCACGCACATCTCTTCGCTTGCTTTTTTGCACGCTTTTGCAAAAGTATCTGGAGAGAAAGTAGGACAAATTCTGATCCATCTTGTCACTCTTGCTGCTGCTTGCATACTTTCAGGAGGCAACTAAACGGAAGAGGAGGAGGAGAATTCAGAAGGCAGCTCTGGGGATCAATAACAGGTCCCTGAATTTGTTCAGGCCTCGCCTGGTGCCCTGAAAGGGCCATGGAATGCTATTCGAGGAGGTGTATGCTGCATAGGTAGGACTCTGCCCTCCACTGTTCCTGCCTGGAGGGGAAGGTGGGGGAGCGCACCACTATCAATGCTGTTTTTTAAAAATTGGCAGGCACCTTTTAGGAGAGTCAGCCCTGAAAAGATGTTCTGCTGTTCACTCTACCTCTTCGGCTTGATTCCATTCCTTACCAGGCTAATTTGACCCAGATCTGTCCTGCCTCTGCCCTTTGCCAGTCGCTGGAGATGGGGGAATCAGTGAGGCTCGAGTCTTGAAATTCTTTGAGTCCACCTCCAAGTGTGCGCTGCCCTCTCCTCCAGATGCGAACTTTAGTTGTGGTTGTACAAATGGGAGGTGTACCTTTGGCCACACATTTTAAAACCTGAACCCTGATGAATATCCCGCCTCTCTTGGCCACAGCATGAACATGCTTCTCTTTCCAAAATGTGTATTTTTAAAGTACCAAATTTTCTTAACACATGTGTTTTGTGAATGCAAGTGTCTGATCAGGAACATGCAAGCTTTGCCCAAAATTGCATTTGCATGTAGGGGAAGACATGGTGCAAGTTCTGTTGTTGAAAAAAGGAAAACAAACTCTTAAGCAAAAATCCTCATGGCCTGCCTCCTTTGCCCTTGCCCTGGGGACAAATGCCATTTTTTAATAATCAAACCTTGGTAAT